TAGTGATGACCATATCAGACGGTTCCTCCGATGCCGGAAGGTCAAGGCCATTCCACGCAGCGGTCGGTAGGCCCATATGCCAGCAGGACGAAGTCGTCTTGTCACTGTGAATCGGCTCACGCGATGACCCAATTATGTGGCTGATGATGACGTCACCGTCGACATCCGGTTGCGTTGGTGAATAACCCGCAGATAGCGATCCTCTTGGGGTGTTGTGACTCTGGAACGTCCACTTCTGGGTCGATCACATAGCTGGCCTGTCGTACTGAAACGGTTAAACAGCCGAATTGTGGTTTGTCTTGTGCAACCCAATGTCCTTGCAATATGGCTGTTGAAAGCACCCATGTGTGCCATTCCTTTGGCCGTTGTCGTTTTCTCGTGAGCTTTATGTCAAGTGATTGTTCAGTCTTCACGACAAATAGGTTTTATACCCTCTGTACGAAAAGTGCTCGTGCCTGGGACAATACACACACTTTTGAGAAAATTCGTGCAAAACACGTACAATGTTTTTGGTTGCATTTTGGCAAGTGAAACATGATGGTTGCGTTCTATGCAATCAGTGTTTTTCAATAATTTTACTAGTTAGAACGCAAATTTGGGATTGCAACAATAATTACACCTGTGTACTTTCTTTTGCTCGTCAGTTTATTTTGTAAATATGTGGTCGAAATCGATATGTGGTTAATTGTTGAACGAACATAAAACCCAAGATGCTTCTTTAGCATTAACCAGCACTCCCCATGGCGAGGCTGCTCATCACGAGTGCCAGTTCGGAAAGATCCAAGACAAAGTCTCAGAACTGGATGGTGGATGTGTTGTGATAAGCTTTGACGAATCATGTACTCTGTTCAGACAAAACTGCAGCTGCCTGTCAGCTGTGTGCATATTTTTTACTTCGACAGGAAACCTTAAAATCGACTACACATAATGACCTTTATTATAAAGGAAAGCTACTTTGTAGGTGACACCATCTTAATATATATATTATACTCTTAATTTTTAATTTACGATTGAAAAAAATGGGAGATATGTGGGAGTCAATCAATGTTGTTATGATAATAATGGATGTTTTGGGTGCACCACCACTTGCAATTCCTTATGACCATTGTTGTTTGTACAGGAATCGCTCTTGTAGGATGATTGGTGTATGACATGAAATTTGCATGTGTACGATTTTCATTTTCAAAAAAAGAAACCGGCTAGGAACAGACACTAAGAACTGTATGATGCAAGATGATTGTCACAATTAATGGTCTACAGTGATTTATCAGGGGTGGTGATAAAGAGAAATGTTGGTGCGTGAATAAGATGTCTGTCTTTGAAAAGTTTGTTAACGCATATACTTTCTATCCAAATTGAAAGTTCATGTTCCTTAAGTTTTTGAAGAGTGTATATTGCGAGTGTTCATTTATACAAATGCTAACAACGACTGACAAAAGTAAGCGAATATATACCGAATGGTTGCATCACGTTCATAAGGAAACTGTCATCAATTAATTATGAAACAAACCGTGCATTATTAACATAGTTATTTTCTAGACATGAGGATCTCTTAAATTAGTTTTTTACAACTATCCCCTACTTAATGTGAAAACTAGACGTGCAAATCATTGAATTGTCTGCCACTGCCATATCGCATGAACTAAAACATACCACTCCAAATATGTCAAAAATATTGGTATCAATACATATATATGATCTTTTTTCAGGAATATACATGCTTGTGTTTCAAGAAGTTTCCAGATGTCTCGTTTTGACAAATATCTTAGTTAGATGGCTCATCTTGGATGGCTGTTGAAAGGTTGATACAACACCGCTTGTTGCAAACCCAAAGTAATACTTTGCACAGGAGCAACTGAAATTATGTGTATATAGCACCACGGCTGTGTACAGAAACAATAAATCAGAATTAAACATCTTGCCATTCTTCATCAAGTTTAGTCACAATTTATTCATCTGTATATATAAATCTTACTTATGTTCTTTTGAGGCTTCGAATTGATTTTCAGTAACCCATGCTTTTTCGTAAAAGGCGACTAACTTTATTGGGGTCAGGCTTTGCTGACTTGGTTGACACATGTCAGCGTGCCATAAATTGTGTGGATCGGGACTCATGATGTCAATCACTGGGTTGTTTGTTCCAGTCCGCCGTGATATAGCTGAAATTACGGCGTTAAAAGCAAACAAACCAAACAATAACCAAGGCTTACTTGTTACTACTGTTTTCTCTTTTGTTCCTTCTGGAATCATCCATAATTCAAAAGCATCTTCTTCGGAAGCGCCACGGGACGTGGACACATCTCCTTTACACTGACAACGTCCAGGTTCAGCATAGTAAAACCCACTGCACTTGTCTCCCGTGCAGCAAGCCAGGGCACATTCAACTTTCCTTTTTACATTAAAACATGTGTTTGATTTTACTTTAAGGTTATCAGTTAATTGTATCAGTTTGGTTTGGTAAATAAGTGAAACGGCAACACAATGTGCACTCAAGACAGAAAACAGAAGGTGCTTCATCCTGAAAAGATCGTTGTTACTCTCAGATCTGGATGAGGTATATGCGCTATCTTTCAAAAATCAATATGGAATTCATTCCATATCATTAAAACTGCATGTGATAAATATATTATGTATTAGTTTTGTGTCCAAGCGACCTAATCATGAAAGATAAAACCTCATGCACGTCTGACATGTATATATAGCTTAGGTCACGAGGACCAGGTGTTTACTTATACACAACGAACTTGCATATTTGCAGTGATAGGATTTCAACACGTACATAAAACACGTGACATGAAAACATGAGTTTTTCTGACTCGTATGATCCTTTGACACATAGAAAAACGACAAAATGATTGGAATCCATGTTGATTTTATGATGATAATTGTTCATTAAGAAAAACACTGATTTTCATACAAAACCATGCCTGGCCTTGGAATGTTTAATGTTGAATGTATTAGTGAATGTGAACATTCAAAACGTCACTTTGCGTGTCTTACCCGATTCAAAGTCAAAACCGAGTGTAACCTCCATGTAACTGTATGACAGTCAGTACTCTCCTCCTCATGCCCTTGTCTGCCTCCTGATCCTCTGAAGGGGCAGTCTACGCCATTCCTTGAGTACAAGGGAGGGGGGGGGGGGTCTCCAAAGGGTTAAGAACAGGGCTCATTCAATCGGGGGATATGTCATGGGGTGCTTAACTAAGTGTTTTGTGTATGTTTAAAACTGTAGTCAGACCAAAGGACGCTGATCTTTCCTGGGCACGTACTAGGTAGATCAAAGGAAATGATGGGGGAAGGTAGGATTGTGGCGTCTAAATGACAATTCGATCAGTTAATTCAAGGTAATGGATCCATTGTTTGCATAATTTCTAGTTGTCATTGATTACAAAACGTAAACATTAGCAGTCATGTTTACAGTCCTGTCAGCGAGAGGACATTGGGTAAAGCTGCAAATACTACAGTGCATCTTGGTTATAATGCCATGTTTTCGCCAGAACGGATTTCCTGCCCTTATAATACCCTGGTTATACTGCCAAACGGGATATAATGTCATTTGCCAATGGTTTTGGACAAAAGTCATTTTACCCTGGTTATAATGCCAATTACACTGGCTGCATGTAATATAACATACATTGATTGGGTAATTGACATGACCCAGAGTAATTGAACAAACGCACAACAAGTCACCTGCAGCCCATAGAGGCTGGGATTCAAGGTTCATTACAGGAGACATGTGCTCAATCATCTTGTTGCCTGCATAGACAATACCGTACGACCAACCATCATACAATGCCGTACCACCAATCATCCTAATGAGGTCATACCTGGTTATAATGCCACCCTGGATATAATGGCCTATTTGCACCTAAACGAACGGTGGCATTATAACCAGGGTATACTGTATTTTGCTGTGAGTTGCATCCTGTGTCAGCAGAAGAGTCTATTATTTGGGGGCCATGCCTACCCTGTGCATATTATGTTTTGAGCGAAAAACTGAAATAGTTCTAAATTTTGATACATATTTACATTTTCAATTAATTCGCCTGCTGGAGTAAACTACCTCAGGGTAACATTGGAGCTTCCAGTCAGATATCCATTGGTGATAGATATCGGCTTTATAACACATCGTGGTGGATGAGGAAATCATATACTACCAAAACAAAAAGACCAAACATGTACTTCGTCTCCTAAGGACGACAACCCTGTTTCATTTCCAGATAGTTGTTGCAGATTTTCACGAGTTGAATCTATTGATTTTCTAAAGCTGTACAGGATATGAACAAATGAGGCACATGCATTAATCGGAGGTCAACATCACCAGATTGGCCCAAGAGCCACCACCTTCTGTGATAGGACTCTAGGCAGTTTAATATACCAATAAGTTGTATATTGGAAATCGAAATGACCAAGATTCAATAAAAAGTCAAATGTGAAAAAATAGTCATAATGCACAGGGCTTGGCGAGACGAGACGATTGATAGAAAGTTAAGTCAGGATCGAAGTCTTGTGTTGAACAAAAGAAACATGGTTCTCTGTCAGTGCCCTCAACCACAAGAGTCACTTCCTCCACAGATACAAGGGCGCAATCCACAGCAAACATGTCGCCCAATTCGGTCGCCTTTAACGACCAGCAATGGTGTGCAGAAAGCTTCTTGTGCTCCGGGTCCACACGAGGGAAGAGCTATTCGAGATCCTCGGGCTGCTCTTCACGAGTGCCTTGTGCAACGAGGGAGTGAGTTAGTTTAGTTTTACGCCGCACACAGCAATATTCCAGCTGTATGGCGGCGGTATGTAAATAATCGAGTCTGGACCAGACAATCCAATGATCAACAGCTTGAACATCGAACTGCGCACCAATGACATGTGTCAACCAAGCCAGTGAGCCTGACCACCCGATCACGTTAGTCGCCTCTTACGACAAGTACGGGTTACTGAAGCTTTATTCTAACTCGGACCTTCACGGGTTTATGCAAAGACAATTAAGTAAATCAATAAAATGTATTGCAAAACAGAACTAACCAATATTTATTTCAATACTGTTCAGGATCTGTTCAGCTCGATGGTACAGTTCTATTGGAAGCTAGCGGCCGGAAGTAGGCGTTGACAGGGAAGTTCCGGTAGGAACCACAATGTTGCCAGAAGAATGTCCCCCTCTGGAAACACTCGTCCTCAAGGTCATCTGGGAATATATTTATGTACTCGATCAATTTCACGAAACTTACTTCTGTGAAAGCTCCATCAACTACTGGTCTCTTTTTTATATTCTTTTTTAAAGTGAAGCCCATTTCCGGTGTCCCCCGCCGTGATATTGCTGGAAAATTGCTACAAGCGGAGTAAAACCATACTCACTCACTCACTCACTTTAAAAAAAATACAGTGGCTCATACGTAGTCATCCTGGGCAACCTCCACGACATATATGCACACATTCATCATGCAGGTAATAGCCGTCGTGTACACATTTTCCATCTTATAATATAGGCAATACTGTCAATCACAAAGATAGATAAATCTATCGATCAAGTAGACATTAAACCAAAACTGTGTTACCAAGAAGCATTGAACATGTTTTCTTCTTTTACTCGAGGGCAGAACTGTTCACCTGATCCTGTGTTGGAGGCCCCCCATGCATCATAGAAAAATGGCTTCAGATGTGTATCGGCAGGACAGGAGGATATCTTGATCCAACATCCAGCACCTGCACTGCGGACAGCACCTGCAAAATATGTTGTGATCACTCAGCGTCCGTCAAACAGGTCATCAGGATCTCTCACCTGTAACACAGGCACTAAACATCGACACCTGTCACAAACGATCAGTGCCTGATACACAGGTCATCAGGATCTCTCACCTGTAACACAGGCACTAAACATCGACACCTGTCACAAACGATCAGTGCCTGATACACAGGTCATCAGGATCTCTCACCTTTAACACAGGCACTAAACATCGACACCTGTCACCAACGATCAGTGCCTGATACACAGGTCATCAGAATCTCTCACCTGTAACACAGGTGCTAAACATCGACACCTATGACTATGATAGGTCATCCATCAATGGCATTTATGACTGACTGACTGACTGAGTATGGTTTTACGTCGTTTTTAGCAATGTTACAGCAACATCACGGCGGGGGACACCAGAAATGGGCTTCACAAATTGTACCCATGTTCGGAATCGAACCCGGGCCTTTGGCATGTCAAGCGAACGCTTTAACCACTAGACTACCCCACCGCCCCAGGTAATGAAGCAAACGTCAGCAAACGGTACATTGACATGTACTACATATAACATGTGTGACCAGCAAACTACATCTGTCATACAGGTTCCTCACCAACAAAGCCACCTGCCACGAAAGTTATTCGGCACTTGGGATATCCTTTATGGTCGCTTTGTGATCCTTTAGCTCCAAACTTTCGATCAACTTGATTAAACATTACCGGGAGAATAGCCGCAGCTTTGTAATATAATTTGGTCAATGTCAATAGGTATAAATGCCTGTAGTCATGTCAACGATGGGTACAAACACGTTACGGAATCTTGAATGACAAATTATGACTTGTTGATGTGAAATCATGATGATGAAATCATTTTTCGAATCGCCCAGAAAGCACTTTATGCACGATATTTACGGAAATAGATGCGTTTTCACTTATATACCTGAATGCCTGAAAACATGAGTCGGGTTTACAGACATCGAGGGCACCTACCTGTAGGCAGGAATAAGCTCGTGATGGGATACCGGCGGTCAGATCCGCAGTATGCCCACTGAGCCTTTGCTCGTGCTAAACATCCCTCGATGTTTGTACTTGCATTCTGTGTACGTTCTGCATAAACATCATGATGGAGACCAGGTCTTCCGGGATGTTTAGGGCATTGTTCATAAGCCATGAAGCATCCACTACCGGCAACGGTCATTGCCCCTGAAAAAGACGACGTCATCCATATCGCTTTCACATAATCAGACATAAATGGTCTCAAAGGCAAACGTGATTTGCTATTGCTGCCCATGCTGTATTGACTTCACAGGATAAAGCTCGAAATAGTGTAGTTTTGATAATTTATAACTTCAAGTCTTGAATAATGATAAAAATAGTAGTAGTGCACGGGTTCAATACGTACGTTCCATTTCCATTTCTAAATTCTGTCAAAGTTTCTTTCCTCACAACCCGCTAATCAGTTTCGGTGACCTATAGTCTGTTTTTTTATATTGTATTGTCTTCGTAAAGAAAATAGTTTTAGATTTGCATGCTAGTTTTAAACAACAGCTCTGATACTCTAGTTATTTTACAGTCATTCGATGACTGGTTATTTAACAACTTATATTTACTGTGTATGCAAAACCTTTCTCGTCACTACATTGCTGAAATATTGCCGAGGTGACGAGAAATTTTAACTCACTCACTCACAACCCGTGAAGGTTAGCGTTTTCTTCAGTAATCCGTGTTTGCCGTCAGACACAACTTACGGGATCGGATGGTCAGGCTGACTTGGTTCCTGCATGTTATCGTATCCCAACTGCGTAGATCGGTGGCCATGATGTCAATCACTGAAGTGTTTTTATCAAGATAAGAATATTTTCAAACCGCCGTCATATAGCTGTAATATTGCTAAGTACGACGTCAATCCGACATTTCCGTAAACTTTTACACCAGAAACCATTGGACCATTGAAACCGAAATTTGCCCCCACAAATGACACCATAATGTGGTCAAATATTGTAAATCTATTTGCCACACAAGCCATTATTCGGACTTCTCAGAGTGAAATTTGGTACTGTGATGCCATTTGGTAGTGTGATGCTATTTGGTACTTAAGTTGAACTTGAAATGGTTTTGTTTGGCAAAATGAATTTTGACCATATCCTGCAATGCCATTACATTCTCTAATGAGGTAGCCGCCATATGGCGGGAATATTGCTGAGTGCGGCGTTAAATAACAGACCAACCAATCTAATGAGGTATATTTAGCTGAAGTAGCGGAACTTCACGTTTCTCCAAATGATCACATGATGCGTTGTTTGAATAATTCATTTGAAAAGATTTGATTATCAACAAGAGCAACCTTTCGTTGTTTTTGTCATTGCTACAGTACCATTGCACTGTTTTTTATCTTGAAATTGTACACATTAAAATTGTGTCATCATGGTTTAGACAAGTCACATTCTGTTCTAAACGTATTTGACACTGCCATCCATCCTACATACCGACCTGGTTTCATATTTGTTAACCAACCTGTTGGACCGAACACAGCCGTGAGTGAGTGGCTGTTACTGGATCCACAGTATTTCCACTGGTCCACAGCCCGACTGAGACACCTTGCCTCCCTCGTCCACACAGGGTCGTTCTTCTGGTCACCTGTGTCCCGGAACATACGGGGTCGAGGATGTCTCGGACACTGGTCAGTGATGAACCAGCACCCTGAAAGTGACAAGTCAATTTAAGAAGCGTGTCCAGAATTTTGTACAAACGAGGATAACCTTCCGAACTGAATACCAAAACAGAAAAGCTCATGTAACAGGTGTTTCGTCCTTGTAAAAGTGCAGGGTTCAGTGGATCGCGGCGTGGGGATAGGGCGGACAGTTATCATTATGTACTTCTTCAGCACACTTAAATACTGTTCTAGTTCACCAGCACCTGCATAACTAGTGGATTCAAGGTTTCAGCTAACCTTCTGTAATATTTGGGTACAACACATTTGGTCCAGATCCATCGGAGATATAAGGTGTTCCAGGAACCTTTGTTTCAGGGGCCACTGTAGACTGATCGCACGGCTGAGGAGGTGGAGATGATCGTATTGTCGGCAACACTGAGACAGGATATATAACATAAGTCACACATACAAAGAGAAAGATATATGGAAATGCTATTAATTAACCAACTTGGTGAAATGGAAACGTCCAACCATTTTCCAATATAATTGTAACCACGTTTGAATCATCGACTATGAGAGTTATTCCTTAGCGTAAAAACGGACAATTTAAAAAAAACCCTATCAAGTTCGACCCTCTTGCAAATGTCTCCAACCTGTCTTCATGTATGTTGGACCTGTACTTTGACGTGGGCCAACATCTTTCAGAGCTATTGGTTCTTCAAAGTTGACACCATTTGCCCACTGAATGGCGCCACAGCGAAGTCGTAAATCGTCATTATCCGGAGCGTAGAAATCTGATTTTCGGCGTGCCTAAGAACAAGAGACCTAGCATTAGAGTCGATCAACATTGTAATTATAATTGTGTCTTCTCGAAATGAACAGTTTAGAAAAAAAGGAGTCAGTGAGTGTGGACTCGATCAAATAAGCATAAGTTTCTGGCGTGTGAAAAGGACGCTTCGACGACTGGGTCATCCGCTCCTTAAAGACAAGATGCTTGTACTCGACCGTAACAGGAGTTCATTATTGAACTTTTCACAAATGCTAAAATACTCCTCTTTATGAAAGGTTTGACAGCCATGACGATTTAAGTTAAGACATGATGTCACAATCACTGTTCTTCAAACAAACGTCGTTATCTTGGATACTTAGGTGTACTTCAGTTTGCTGTAAGTCATGCTGTTCCTAGTGCATGTGTCCGACGCTCGTGAACCCAACGAGCTGATACATTTTCCTTTGTCAAACGTTCGCTCGTCACGAAAACCTGGGTTCTATTCCCTACATGGGTACATTGTGTGAAGCCCATTTCTGGTGTCACCCGCTGTAATATTGCGAGAATATTTATAATAGTGGCGTAAAGCTAAACTCACTCACTCATTCATCACATCATCTAAAATCCCCAACAGAAACATTTTCTCAATTTTATGTCAGGCTCAACCAACCTTCGTATTTTAATGATGACGATCGATGATGATGATGATGATACGACTACTTACCATATGGTTATCATGGACATCAAAATACCTCTTGTCAACAAATGGTTTGTTTGTGTAGACAATCCATTTTTGACTCCCCTGGTTCCAGAAGATGTTCTTGTAGATCTGGTTACCTGTGAATCCGAGTAAAGTGTGATGCTGTCACTGGGCGAATGATTAAGTCTACCGCCAAAGACAAGTAGAGATAGACGCGTGAGTATACATGCATAACGATATACATAGATTCCTCACATACATTATTATATAACGGGTAGATTTCCGCCCTGCTGATTGGCCCACTTGGTCACATGACAGCTTTGACGCTAAGCGATGTCAACCTCGCCACGTGATGAGAGGTTGATATAACAATCCAAGAACCTCCCGTGGCTAAAAATAGATTTGGGATATTCCAGCTGTTAACTCCGCACTGCGTGCGTCACGCTTGATAAGGAAGCGATAATCATCGCCTCGTCCCTGTGACTGTGTTGGTGTAGAGTTACCTCCCATCTGTATCAAAATGGCTGCACCTCTGGGTCATGTGCAACGCCATCGGTGGTATGCTATGTGATAGACGAACAGGTATTCAGTATTTTTGTCGATATAGTTCTAGTGAGGTTGATCAACCTTGCATATACACCTGGGCATATACATTGAAAGGGGTTTCTTATGATTATGGCCTTGTAATATGAAGGCTACGCCTAACGCCGAATTACAAATCTAGCATTGAAATGCAACTGACGTTATTCAACAAGTTTTTAGAGATCACATGCAGTGATGAGAAAATGAACTCATAATTATGATTACACAATGCCATTTAGAAAGTGGTCAAATGCAACAAATGTTATATTTGGGATTACACTTTCTTAGTAAAGTTCAAATTCTAGTACTTTTTGAGTTGAGCCCCATCCGGGACTCGAACTCACACCCTCAGAGTCAGGCACCTAATCGCCAGCACACAAAGTCAGCCGCCTAACCCAGATGGGGCTCAACTCAAAAAGTACTAGAATTTGTACTTTACTAAGAAAGTGTAATCCCAAATATAACATATGTTGAACTCATAATTATCCGGTCAAGAATTCCTCGCCACTAATATATACAAATTATATATAGAGAATACTAAACGATGTCCCGGATAATACCATATTTATGAAAGAAATGGGCCACGCGTATACTGATTATTATACCATGTGTATTAACATTGTAGATTTTTTAAACAGTGATATCTTCAACGGATGAGAAATACATGTAGTTACCTTCTGGATAGCGCGGCGTTCCTGTGAATAATGTCGCCATTTCGGGGTATTTGGCTGTCCACAGGGCATTTGGGTATGAAACGGACTGAAAAAAAGATTTGGATATTTTCTTTATATATTTTCATACTTACCTAGGAGATCGAATCACTGATATGTATATTATAATAAATAAATTAAATAAATAAGCAAAATAAACAAACATAATTCATTCTTTATAATAAGTGATTAAGTCATGTTTATTCATTAATCAAGTTTCAATACATGGCCCATCTCCTTTCCAGTATTTTTTACAGTGTATAACTTTTTCTATCGAACAACAGTATCTCAATTCTTTCTTGAAGTGAGATAGAATTGGTGATTTTTTCTTTTGCAGCCTGGATTTAAATATACGATAATAAACAAGGCTTTGGAATGGATTGCGTCTTACATGGCAGAAAGATACCAATCAGTCTGCATTGATGGGCACATGTCGGACAAGAAGGAGCTAGTTTATGGCGTCCCACAAGGATCAGTCCTGGGCCCTATATTGTTCACAGTATACGTCTCCCCACTCGGTGACATAGCGAGACAGTACAAGCTTAGTTTCCACCTGTACGCGGACGACACGCAACTCTATCTCACCTTCAAGCCTATGGAATAGCCTTCAGTAATAAATGCTTTTCAACAACTCCAAGACTGTGTTGAACACATCAAGGCATGGATGACATCGCATTTCCTCAAACTAAATGGTGATAAGTCTGAACTGATGATCATCACCCCAAAACATCTACATCTACGGTACCATCTTCCATCTTTTCACATTGGAGACTGTGAAATTCCTATCAGCAAAGAAGCTCGCAACTTGGGCGTTACATTTGACAGCAGCCTCAGTCTTGAGTCTCATGTTAATACCATCTGCAGGCGAGCCTATTTCCACATCAGAAATATTGGGCTAATAAGGCGGTACCTCGACCAGCATTCAACCATCTCACTTGTCCAGGCTCACGTAACATCCCGCCTCGACTACTGCAACTCCCTCCTCTTCGGGCTTCCCAACCACCTGATCAAGAAACTGCAACAAGTGCAGAACACCGCAGCAAGAGTTGTCCGCAGGAAGAGGAAATTCGACCACATACAACCAGTCCTGCAGGACCTACACTGGCTGCCAGTGCGCTACTGGATACAGTACAAGATACTTGTACTGGTGTTCCTGTCCCTCCATAGCAAGCACCAGATTACCTCAGCAGTCTGCTGACCAGATACCACCCACCTAGGACACTGCGCTCATGTGACAAGTCTCTCCTAACTGTACCCTCCTCCCGTACAAAAACGTTTGGCGACCGCTCTTTTGAACGTCCAGGGCCCCTTCTCTGGAACAGTCTCCCACTTGACATAAGAACCGATCAAACATTGTCCACGTTCAAATCTAAGCTCAAAACTAGCGCTTTTGAGCAGCTTACGCTGGATACTAGCGCTTTACAAATGTTTGTATGTATGTGTATGTAAGTAACAGAATTAGGTCCAAAGTATCATGAGTTCGAAATGTGCAACCGAAAATGATCAAATCAACCTGGAATACATATACAATCCATGGATTCCATCACCAGGGATAAATATTTTAATGCCAAAACAATTAAGGATCTTTTTTATACTTAGTGTTAATCATCATTTAATAATTGATTTTTTAAAGGAAATAGAATTATTAAATAAACTTTGAACAATAAGTTTGGTAAATATCTAAATTGCATTTTAAACATGGTAGCATACATTAGCAACTGCGATTGTTAGTGGCTGTATCGTCAAAGGGGTGTTAAAGTATTCTAAAATTATTGTCCTCCTGAGAGGATACGTAAGTCCCAACGACTTTCAAAGTTAAATTTAAACTTAGCAGATGTTTGAACGTAGTATTTTTGTTATTTTAAACTGTCGGTTAAACCTGTCCTTCAATCGCCAGCGGCTGTAGGGATATGTAAATCCAACTAGGGTCCATGTAGCAAAAGCACTGTCAGTCCCCATGGTCCCTAGTATGGTGATATACCTTTGGTTGTTGGCGACCTATAGCCTGCTTTTATATTGTATTGTCTTCTACAGTTAATAGTTGTTAGCTTACGACTATTTATTATTCAAATCCTCGTCACCATGGTCCCTATTATCGTGATCTACTTTCAGTTGCTGGCGATCTTCAGCCCGTGTGTTGTCCATAATAGTTGTCTGATTTCACAGCTCCATGCTAGTTTTAATTCTCCATCAGTGTTAAGGGTTGCTTGTTATTTCACTGTCCTTTGGCGACAGATTTTATCATATTTTATCTATTATCAGTAAATGGATTGTGTTAGTCACGATATTGCTGAAATAGATAATGTGACAGTAACTTGTAACTTACGAGTATTGTGATCCATCATGATCCATTGTCAGTTTCAGGCGATCTATATCCCGGTTTTATATTGAATTGTGTCCTATTTTTGGTGTTAATAATGCTAGTTTTAAGTCTATCTGTGATATTATAGTTAGTTTACTTTCCTGATAGATTTTATCATGAAGCAACATTTCGTATCGATGTATAACTTGTTTTAGTCACGATATGACTGATGTCTCCTACTCATCTACCCATGTCTGGATGAACCGAGATATATTATATATCATTTAACGAGGGCGACACCACACGTATTACATGTGCTCTCATTGAAGGGCAGGACTGAGTTACTTGATTTGCTACCGGCTCATAGCCGCATAAGATACATGTATCACAAATATACCGACAATATCGCTATGAATGTGACATTCATATGTGTAGTTACAGTAAGTACTTGTCTTACAGCTAGGTCTCTTTGTAGTGTTTTGTTTCTGAAGTCAAACTGTGACGTTGACCCCCTGGCGTCTACTTGTATGCTCTCCGATACACTGTCGTACATGACGTTGTAGCGGATGATGTTGTCACGGCCGCCACCGATGTTGGCGTGGATGTCATTCTACAAAATACAGGGACAACTATTACATACATACAGTACCACATGAATAGTGCAAATGTTCCGCACAACCAGTTTCAATCGTCGTGAATGCAGGTTACAATTGACCATAGAAATAGTTCTCGGTCCGTCAAGTAAAAACAATTGGAGTATCATATCAGCTGAGGCTGGTTTTTCTTCGTGCTCAGGTGATAGGGAGTAGACACATATCAGTATATTGCTTGTTTGTTATTTAGCAATAATCCAGCTATATGGTGGCGGGTTGTATATATTCGATTCTGGACCAGACAGTTCAGTGATCAACGGCATGAACGTCGACCTACACAATTTGGATACGATGACATGTGTCATCCAAGTCAGTCTGACCCGGATCTTCACGGGTTACTAATTTTAGATATGTATCTGTTATCTAGTTATCTTACTATACTTTAGTCACGATATGGCTGAACTACTGCCAATGTGACTTTAAATACTACCTCACATCATGTAGAAATCATGTAGATCCAACGGACGTCACTTCTTGTCCTTTGTATGTTCCATTAGATAAAGGACAAGCCGAGATACGTATTTTACGTTGTGTTATGGAATACGAACTTCACAGTACTTAAAGTATGAAAAACTCACGTGGTAGAAGACATTGTGTTCAATGGTGACGCTGGAGTACTGGTCGTCCAGCATGACGCCTCTCACAGAAGCTCCTGGCATCAGTCTGATGGTGTCGTGGATGTGGTTGTAGCGGATCTTGTTGCCTCGCTGCCATTATAAAGGAGAATAGCTATTTCGATAGACTAACAACTAGTCTCTGAAATGAACATATTTTACTGAAAAAAAGTTCATAGTAAAAAATCGATGCTCATGCATTTGATCACTGGATTGTCTGGTCCAGACTCGATTATGGACAGACCACCTCCATATAGCTGGAATATAGTGCGGCGTAAAACAAAACTCACTCACTCACTTAAAACAAACGTTATAATTGTTTTTTTAAAGGAAATAAAATTACTAGACAAATTTTGAATAGTGTGTTTTGTAAAGAGATAAGTGGTATTTGACAAATGGTAGTTTAGATTATCAACTGAAATTGTTAGTGGCTGTATCCTCAAAGGGGGTTAAAGTATCGTAAAATTATTGTCCTCCTGAGAGGGTACGTAAGTCCCAAAACTTTCAAAGTACATTTAAACATTAAAAGTACATTTATATTGTGTTGCCACTGAACAGTGTACTATTTTATATGCTCCCTAACACGTTTTAGATACAATGTGATGTACTAGTTGTTGTTCTGTCCTTTGGCGGCAGGATTTTATAACCTTTAAATATATTCACGTTTTTCATTGCTGTGTAAGGTTCTGTCGTCACGATATGACAAATATTGCCGATGTGACGATAAATTTTACCTCACTCACTCACTCACTCACTCACTCACTCACTCACTCACTCACTCACTCACTCACTCACTCACTCACTCACTCACTCACTCACTCACTCACTCACTCACTCACTCACTCACTCACTCACTCACTCACTCACTCACTCACTCACTCACTCACTCACTCACTCACTCACTCACTCACTCACTCACTCACTCACTCACTCACTCACTCACTCACTCACTCACTCACTCACTCACTCACTCACTCACTCACTCACTCACTCACTCACTCACTCACTCACTCACAAGACAAGCGTGGGTTACTGGACACCAATTCTAGCCCAGATCTTCACGGGTTTCTAGTAAGCAGTTAGTCGTACGCTAAGCTGACCCTCCATGATATTACACCAAATTACGATTTTGTGAATTGACGTTAGGCACACAACCACTTCCCTTTGTGAATGCATAATATGAATGAATGCAACGAAGATGAGGACTCACAAAGGACCAACTCCTTGTAGCATGGAAAGCACCACAATCGCTGGCATTGAGGCAGTTGTGGTGGACGTGATTATACTCCATCACGTGGTCGTTACCCTGGAGACCAAGATACTCTATAATTATCTATATATTCCTTAGAAAACGCAAACGATATGCCAGCATGACACACTACGTCTTTAATTCATGGCTTCCTTTATCCACAATTGCCATATATATTATGTCTACCAGGTTTTTTAATCATAGAATATTTGTTAGTTCTAGTGATGGCTAAATCTGAGAGGATCATATAAATCCAGCTTGGGTCAATGCAGGTAGCAAATGTACTGTAAGTCCCCATGGTCTCTAGAATATGGTGGTCTATAGCTACCTTCAGTTGTTGGTGATATATAGCCTGTGTTTATAATGTGTCGTTTAGAGAATATTTTTGTTCGGTTACTTGCTAGCTTTCATATCATTACAGCTACTTTTTAGTAATCAGTATGTTTCATAGTCACGGTAAAGCTGACATATTGTTGATGTGACTTTAAATGTTTACTCACTCACTCCATTATACACACTGGTGTAGATGTTAACAAAATGAAGCATGTATTCTGGACCTTGGGTCTTTTTACTGTAATAAAGAAACCTGAAATCTGAAATGTGAAATCTGAATCTGCTATTCTTTACTATTTATGTATACCTTACCGTGATTTTACGTACGGAAAATACGGAAATAACATGTCTAAACCAAATTTGTTTGGTGCTATAGTGCACTGGCTGATTAACATTTATATGCGCCAAATCAATTCCTTCTTGTTTCGAAATGTTAATTTAGTGCAATCAGTTCATTCAATCTATTGTTGGGCCCATGTTGCATTAAGCTTCAAATAATGGGTGATTCAAATTCAACTCTTTCACTAACGTGGTTGTGGATGAAAACAATGGAATGATACGTATTTTGCCAGACTGTGTGAAGAATGTTATTACACCGCGAGTAAAATAATTATCCGATATTCCTGAAAAGGTACATACGTCGAACTTGATCGCAGCATATTGTCCGTCGTGGATGTGGTTGTATCGTATGAAGTTGTTGACACCAACACTGTGCACTGCGTTCTGTCCAACCGCTCCCTCCCGACTGTACCTCCATATGTGGTTGTCTTCAACCACGTTACCGGAGCTGATGAGGTTGACACGGTCACCGCCTAAAGAAATATGTTTCATCTTACAGTGTATTGTTGATGTGTCGGTAATTAGTGCTTTTAAGTTGGAAATGTGCTCTTGTAATTTACAATTAATAATTATAATTCCTCAATTTCTATAGCGCATCATTCACAGTCTTATGCTCTGTGCACTTAGCAAGTGAAAGTTTGGGAGAAGAGAAAGGTCTTTAGGTGTGACTTGAATGATTCAAGTGAATAGGCAGATTTCATGTTTTCGGGTGGACAGTTCCATTTTTGCAGTTCATATTTGAATGTACAATGGAGCAATTTTGTGAAAGCACTTGTAGGCATACAGAAGGATTTTATAGTCAATGCGGAATGAAACTGGCAACCAATGGAGCTCTTTCAGTAGGGGAAATGTGGTCAAACTTTGACGCTCTGGAGGGGATTCTGGCATTAGTGTTCTGAAGGGTGTGGAGTCTTTTGATCTGTTCTCTAGTAGTATTGACAAGTAGACAATTACAATTATATCAAATCAATGGATAACTCACATAGGAAGATACTTGTGTATGAGATGAATACTAGCGACAGTAATTACCAAACAGGTCAATGCCTCCATCTCCATCGTGTATTTCACACCTGGAAACAGTGACGGACCGGCAGTCTCCTCCACAGTGGAACACGTAGGAACCTGGAATACATATTCTTTGGTAAATGACTAAATGGGAAGGAAAGAGAATAGGACAATGTGAAAAGGGCAGTGTAGAGGTGAAACAAAGAATTAAGATGTGATTGCAGAATGACTGCGTTATTGGATGTAAATGAAGGTATGAGAATGCATTAATGACTGTAGGAATGAAAGTATAAGCAGGAATAAGTGAAGATGTGACAAGGCATGAGTGAAGGCGTGGCTGTGGGAGTGTTTGAAGGCGTGACTAGGTATGGGTGAAGACGTGACAAGGTATGGGTGAAGGCGTGACTAGATATGAGTAAAGGCGTAACTAGATTTAAGCAAAGTCGTGAGTAAAGGTGTGACTAGACACGAGTGAAGGCGTGACTAGGTACGAGTGAAGACGTGACAAGATATAATTAAAGGCGTGAGAGAAGGCGTGAAGTGCTAGGTATGAGTGAAGGCGTGGCTAGGTATGAGTGAAGTAATGACTAGGTATGAATGCAAGCGTGACTGTAGGAAGGTGTAGGAATACTTTGCGTTCAACTACGTGTACTTGAAACGTGTGGTTGTAAGATGTCTGTGTGGCTTAATCTTTCGGTGCATCAAGCTGAATATCCTGTTTGATTTCTCACGCTGGACAATGTGTGAAGTCAATGTGCTAGTATAATGCGAAAACGGCCAAATATAAAATGCACTAATTCCATTGGGCGTCATTGAATCGGTTGATCATTCGTTACCTGTATTTTTCAGCTCAAGTTGCCGCAGTTCTACATTGGACACGTTTTGGGCGTTGATTCCGAATTTTCGACAGGCTTCCAGGGTGAAGTCCTCAAACCTCAGGTTGGACACGCCGGGATCCAGTCTGGAAAACATTTTAGGTGAGATAGAAAAATGGAACAATATTCCTCGAAGTTTGTCCTGTTACATCACACGTTCAAAAATATTATGTGAGAAGTTAAAAATAGAAGTTGGTAGACATTTACATTAAAATGCGTATTGCATTTTTGTATTTTTTGTTTTGAGCAAGGTATCTCAGTCTGTAATCGATGACGAATATCATTTTATTTGTGTATGCCAAAAATATCATGTTAATAGAGCAAAATATAGCATCGATTTTATTGGGAATGTCCATCAAGATCCAATTTTTTTTCAGTTGTTACAATCCCCTAAGAAGATTCCTCAGGTGTATCAAGCTAAAATCATAAAGCAAAGTTGATATTATAATTTACGTTTAAAATGTCCTGCCTTCATGCTCGAATGTAAAATTTTTGTTTTGTGAAGTTGATGAGGCACTCTTTGAGCTCACTTCTATATAAATAGACTCGTTCAGTTCTGTTCTGTTCCATGACGTAATCACACCTACTTGATACAGTCATCAATCATTGACGCATACACAACATCCGATGACGTCAGGGCACGTGTCGGTGTGTTGGGCCACACGTACAGAATCCCCGTGCTTCTGTCTAAGTAGTACTCCCCCTGCAACAAAATACACAATATCTGATGACGACAGGGAACCTGTCGGTTTATTTGGGCCACCTGTACAGAATCCCCGTACATATGTCAAGGTAGTACTCCCCCTGCAACGAAGTACACACTATACTACTGACAGTCAGGACATAACCCCTCACGTATGAAATCATCTTTGCTACGGTTGTTTTAAAGGGTGAGTGAGTTTAGTTTCACGCCGCTTTTAGCAATATTCCAGCAATATCACCACGGGGGACACCAGAAATGGGTTTCCCACAATGTATCCATGTGGGGTATCGAACCCGGGTCTTCGACGTGACGAGCGAACGCTTTATCCACTGGGCTACCCCACCGCCCCTTGATGGTAAAGAAGTTACAGTTGTCTAAGATCGGTTTTGCCCTATACGAAGGCTCTTGTCATGTAGCTGTAACAAAGTACTCTACATTTGATGATGTCACACTGTATAAATTCGATTTTTGGGTAAATGTACTGTCGTACTGTCGGTAGGGCAAGACATGCTTACACCTAGTGTCAACAGATGATTTTCAGTGGTCTATTCAATTAGTGTTACGGCTATTCTATTTAAACCAAACAGAACTTGTTTCTGGTGATAGTCAATGCTATTCTTTTTGCAACACACACACACACACACACACACGCACACACACACACACACACACACACACACACACACACAAATGATCATAGTCCTGCATCTATTATATAAACCTTTGGCATAATGCGTTTAAGCCTTTGAAATCATTTAGAAGGTGTTTAGAATCTGGAAGAACATGAATGTATGGCACTTTCGAATGGATTACAACTTTTTCGACTCTTTTTAACGACGTTTCAGAGCTATCGTGGTCCTGTTAAATTATGAAAGTTACAATAGATCTAAGATCGCCTTAGGAACGTCAGTGGACACACTAACGCAATGCATTTTTTGTCTTTAAGTACAATGTCCAGTTTGAAACTCACGGGCTGGTCAAGTTCCGAGATCATGTTCATTACCCGGAAGTAGCCGCCTTGCTGAGCGAATCCGAGACCGGTCAAGTTGCCGTGGTTGTAAACACCTGGCATAGCGTCACAGCAACATTACTGGCCATCACTAATCGATACCATCGACAAACACAATGTTGTTTTACTCCATAATAAGTATTTCTCATTTCAGGGTTCAGCAGAAAATTAAGTAAGGTAAGTAAACCTCCAGATTGTTCTCAATAAGAATAAATTGTTTTTAAGACTGTATTCTTAAAACATGAAAGTAATACAATACATTTAATATATTTCATTCTTTGAACAATGAACTAACAACGGTGGTGTCAACTTTAACTTTGAAGCTTACCCGTTCGTATACCATGGGGATCTTTAGAAGCCAATGTGATGGTGTGATTAGCAGTGTTTATTTTACTTATCTTCAAAGAGTAGTCAGCCCAGCTCCAGTACCTAATGATATGAAAATAGTGACATAAACATTGAGATTTGTTCAAACAAATATAAGTCTAGACTTGCTTCATTTATGGGTTTGCATTACGGACAGTGCCAGTAGGAAAACAAACATACACCACAAGGTGGCCGTATACATGTATATCTATGTACGAGGGAGGAAGGTCCGTAAATTGCTGACGATGCCTTTTTTTATCTCTATAGAGCATACTCTCAATAGACTGATATCATTGAGAATTGAAGCATAGGAAATGAATAAGCTGGGCATGCTTAACTGAGAATTGTGTCAGACAAGCTCCATACCAACAGCAATGTACTTCAACATTCTTGTTTAATGTGACGTCATTATAAGCCTTATACCAATTTGACCGTTTACAGATTTATAACGTCAGTAATTGGACGCGTGACGTCATTATTACACGTGTGTCTTATATGGGTTTCTGGAAGGCGCATTACATTGCAGTGTGAGAAAGACTCACCAGAATCCATATGTCCATGGTTCCTTTTCATTTGCCCACCTCGAGTCACGGTTCGTGTTGTATGAGAACTGGTATCCATGCTCATCTGGCACAGCCGTGATATCTATAAAGTCCTGCAGTAGTGAATCAACGTTAACACGTGGAAATAATACACGTAAGGTCGCCTCACCTCATCTGGCACAGCCGTGATATCTATAAAGTCCTGCAGTAGTGAATCAACGTTAACGCGTGGAAATAATACACGTAAATAGAAAATACTACACGAGGTCTCATTACATACGAATAATAGGAAACGAGTGTCCTTCCTATGGTATCTGAGATACCATAGGAAGGTCACGAGTTTCGTATAAATCGTATGTAATGAGCACGAGTGTGGTATTTTATTTATTACCCACGTCTTACCTGCATAAAACTAACAAAATAGCGTATTTTGTTATTTTATGCTTTCAAACCGAAACCGGTTTCATAAAGAGGATGCGAAAGAATTTTTGCATGACGTCACACTGTAATGACGTCACTACGCCATTCTCGTCTGCCCCCTTCGTAACCGACGTCACGATGCATGTCAGCTGTCATCGCCTCGTACAGCTACCTGCAGTAAACTACTCCGTAGCACCCCGTTTCTTGGTTTGCGGTTGCTTCACTCGGCTAACATCACTGGCGGAAACATTACGTTTATGTTTTTCGACTGATAAAATGTCTCAGTTCGACTCACAAGTTAACAGCGACACGGCAACGTTCGCAATGTTTACATTCCCACAATGCATCCGTGGAATGTGGCGTGACTAGTCGGCTTCATCTGGATGTACTGATCTAAACTTACGTTGGTAGTAGAAATACCACGTTCATATTGCCCCATGTGGTTAACGTTAATGACAGCTGTAATTAAAATAATTTATATAAGCTATTTAAGCCAAATGTAAACCGACATCAAACTGTTTATCATTTGTTTGTTTTTCATTTCTGGTAACGTGCGTCTTAACGCAGGAGGCAGACTTGTCAATAGAACAGCGCGTCAGTTAGCTCTGAGCGAGTTAATTTCACTCTCCTACCCAGAGTTCCATGCGGCAAGCAAGCATAGTAGATGTTATGTTAAGTCATCACTGTGACTGAGAGTGAGTTAATTTAGGTGACAGACACCGTCGTCTTTCTGTTTGTTTTCAGCTTGAGATTAATCGTTATTAACCTTAGAAAGTATTACATTTGGCATCTTAGAAAAGAATTACAGTTCACTCTACCGCCGTATATATTGTGTAATAAGGTACACTTTTACCCTGAAGTATTATAACGTTATAGCGTCAAACTTAATTGACGTAGTAAAATATGTAGAATGAATGAATTCACGTGTTTGTAAAGAATGAGAAAGTAGTTCAGTCACAACGGGACCATAATTGAGAGGTCATCGGATATCCAATCAAATCGTTAGAATCTCGGGTCAAGTCGCTACGACACAGGTCAACGCGATACGACACTCGTGTGACGTGCGAGATTAGTATGCAACTACCCTTACGTTGACCACGTGGGTAATAATATCGATGTACATGACACATTTATATTGTCTTGTGTTTGTTTTACCAACAAGATTTTAATCAAGTCTCCTCACATACACGCCAGGATAACGCCAACTGGATACGCATGGTTAGTTTCGTCACATCACTAATTGTTATAGATTTAACATTTTTAATCCGCAAGACTGGTCCCTTTCCATTACTCAATGTTTGGTGTACGCGTCTTACGTGGTTCGGCCACCTGGCCAGAGTGAGGGGTTCACCATTGATGAACAGCTCCAAGGGGGCCTGTCTGTAGATGTACCAGCCGTAGGAAGACAAATGGCCATAATTTGTGATTCCCACTGATGGCAGGTGAATCTGTTTTATCTGCCAAATAATTGTTTGAATATTAACACAGCCCTCATAACAAGGAAATCGTAGTCACTTAACATCCATTCGTAGTCTTCGTAGTTATTTGTTTCAAAATTAGACAGCAATTATAAACACGATGATTAATAATCCAACCAATTCAGCAATCCAGTTGTTCTTGTTCCCAAACCCCTATTTCGTTTATACCATATATTGAAATGCATTATACTATTGATATACTTATATGGTAAAATGTTCGTCATCACATTAATTTTATATAGTGTCATTGTGAATTATTCATAGTATAACAGAATTAATCTGTTAAAACATGTTCGTCATAAATACACATCTGTTTTAATGTGTTTTGTGGACAGGTTTCTGTTTAGTTTCATAATATTTCTTATTAATGTTGTACATGTAGTCACCGTTTGGCTGAAACACTTCCCGTGTGGCTATAAATCTTAACTCACTTCAACCACCGCTGACTCACGTATCTCTGAGCGTCTTTGCCCCATAAACGTAGAAGCGCTGAGTCTGTGACGTCCTTGAACTGACTGACTGGTAGACGACGCCCCCCTGTCTAAACCAACGGGATCGGTTTGATACCATCATCAACATGTAAACGAATTGGTGAAGAAATTGTTTTTGTTTGTTCGCTCACTCAGTGAATAACATAACGAAACATATTATCCATTTGGCTTTCATTTGATTGCCATCTATTGACATTAAGCGAGGGACCTGGTGCATATTATCCAAGCGTCCAGATGACAACCTTCGACAAAACCAGAATCGCCTAAATACCATGTGTTATGCAAATATTATATCTACCTACGGCATACTATCGACCCTATATAGATCTCCAGGGAGTGCTTAATTATCTACATGGATCATATATCTCTAAAGCATATGTTCCAGGTACTCAATCACCTCCTGTCCTTGGTAAACATACATACCATGCATATGCCCTCCTGTCCTTTGGCCCATGGTCCCTGGTATGGTGATCTACCTTCTGGTGTTGGCGATCGATAGCCTGTTTTTATATTGTATTGTCCGAATAGTGCTATTAGTTTTAACTCTCCACACTTAGTTGTAATTGTGATATTCTAGTTGTTTTACTGTCCTTCGTCAACAGGTTTTTATTACGTGCATATATTCCATTTCAATGTCAAATATTCTCATTTCACTTTTTATTGTATAAATTGTTTTCGTCACGATGTGGCTGAAATATTGCCGATGTGACGTTAAATAATAACTCACTCACTCACTCACTCACTCCTGTCCTTTTGTAAACATTCATACCACGTGTACATCCAGGACTTGGTAAACATACATACCACGTGCACTTCCTGTCCTTGATAAACATACATACCACGTGCACCTCCTGTCCTTGGTATGCCCTGAATGTGACTGGAGACTGGTAGCCATGTGTGAAGTGAAGTGTTGCCGGGAGGTCATAATACCCCTTCATCATCTCAACGTTAATGGCTGTCAATGTATATATGAAGTATTATTAGACGACACAGACTGACGAATACATTCATAATGTAGAGCGTTGTTTAGGACAAATTCTCAAAAATGTAAGCAAATGCCATTTGAGTTTACTGATAAAACAATATTTGAAATGCTGGACTTCCTCATTGATTACATCTATATACAATTTGTGGGTAAACTTTTAGACAAAATGTAGGCATTACAATGGGCAGGAGCTCTGCTCCCCTCCTTCTGGATCTTTTTTATGCATATGTATTGGAATATCTGCTCGGGTTGGCAAAATAAAATAATGGTAATTTGGTCAAGAAGTTAAACTTTATCTTCAGGTATATCGATGATCTAATATCGTTCAAATACCATCAATGCTCTTCCACTGATTTAACCGCCTGAACTTGAAATAAAGGAAACAAGTGAGACAGTTTCGGGAGTCTTTCTTGAAATCTGAGCATAAAGATTCTGAGCGATAAACAATTATCCACAAGTATAGCGAAAGGAATCATTTAAACTTTCCAGTTGTCAAGTTTCAATTCATGTCGATTTAGTGTTTACATTTCACAATTTTAGGTTGAACTGAGCGTGCTCAAGATTTCAAAAAGCGTCTTGCGACCAATTCTCTAAGTTGCTAAATCAAGGTTACGAATCAGACTCAGTAAAGCTTTCAAAGGTTTCATGGTTGACATATTGAGGACCTCTCAAAAGTTGATTCTGCGTGACAAAAGTGATGTTCGATGCAATTCGCTATTTCATATATAATGTGATTATTAAGGGTGCCACCGGTGGGACAGGGTAGGCTCACCTTTTCCCGAATACCGAGTATCATCAATATTTGATAGTGATTCATAAACAGATGCTCAGTCATCACGTTATGTCAATCACTGAAATGTCCTGTCCAGACTCGATTGTTCACAGACTGCCGTCATACAGCTGTGCTATTGCTTAGTGTGGCGTACAGACAACAAACGCCTGAACTTGAAATATAGGAGACAAATGAGACCGTCTCATGTGTTTTATATTTAGATATAAACTGGACAAAAATAGTTAGGGATATATGTACATTTTGAAATTATGAATAATGATCTAATTACTCATTGACACACCGATAAAATATCATTCATAAAAATACCAATATTCCTAACTTATTTTGTCCAGTATATGTATACAGATTCTGTGCGATAAATAACTTTCCATTGTTTACAGACTGCCGCCATACAGCTGTGAGTGAGTGAGTTCTTACACCGCACTCAAAGTATTCCATCTATGTAGCGGCGGTCTGTATATGATCGGGTCTGGAACATACAATCCAGTGATCAACAGCAGGAGCATCGATCTATGCAATTGGGCAACGATGACCTGTGTCAACCAAGTGAGCGAGCCTGACCGCCCGATCCCGCATACAGCTGTGATATTGCTTAGTGTGGCGTACAAACAACATCATACTTTGAAACCCAAAAGTAAATCACGTCTTTAAAGACATTACCACTTCAACATGGTGCTGAAAGGAGCATTTGTGCCTGTCAGGGATGGTACACACAATCAGAATGTGTATACTGCTAAGAATTATACTGCGAAGTATATAATTACGAGTATAAGATATATATATATAGATATAGAGATATAGAGATATAGAGATATAGAGATATATATATATTCATATTCTGCCCACTGTTACCGCTAATAGAGAAAAAAAATACAAGCATATATTACTTACTGTTTCCTTTTATCCCGGGTGATTCCAACAGCTGAAGTGCTTTCTGGAGAGTCTTCACTGGATGGTGTACATCTAACCTAAGCATATAAGTGGGTGTGAGTTAAAACGTAAATTGTCATCGGAAACTCCTTTGCATGAAACTCTTAAAGAAAACGCAGGTCATCGATTGATCCACTCTAATTATTTTAAATTATATTCTTAACTTATATTTTGTTTCCACTTCATGACTAAGTTCTGAGATCATACAACAAACTACAATGCAGACTACAATAAAACGATTTGTTGATGTTAATATATACGGAACAGCAAAAGAAACGCAACTGTCAGGTTTATAAATAGAAGACATGAACGCGCGCTTACTTTTATTATATTTCATTTTTTCGAAACTTGCGTTTCTTGTGCTGTTCAGTATAGGTACAAACTGTTTTCTCTGTCAGGTCAATAAAACGCTATTGTTCTCTCGGGGTCGATGCTCATGCTGTTGATCACTGCATTGTCTGGTCCAGACTCGATTATTTACGGACCGCCGCCATATAGCTGGAATATTGCTGAGTGCGGCGTAAAACTAAACTCACTCACTCACTCACTCGGGGTCGAGCCTTATCTGTGGTTCAACTATTTTGTACAAATAGACGTACCCTGTGTTGGTGTCAGAGCCTTTGGGGGACACAAACAACTCCACCGTCTTTCCCACCGAACATTTCAGAAATGTCAAAGTAGTGATGAATACCAGAAACCCAAACATGGTCCCAGATCAGCAAATAGCCACTACATCCACTCAACAGTATAACGACTATATCTACTGAACAGCATTGCCACTGTGTGACCAGATCTTAACCTAGCAGGGAATTTGGCATATGTTATACATATTGAATTGTTATCTTTACTTAGCTTGTCTACATACATGATAAGCTGGCATACACAACCGTGCATAAGTGATTGTTTGTTTGTCGTTTAACGCCTCACTCCGAAATGTTCCAGCTATATGGCGGTGGTCTGTAAATAATTGAGTTTAGACCAAACAATCCAGTGATCAACACCATGAGCTTCCATCTACGCAACTGGGATACGATGACATGTGTCAACCAAGTCGACGAGTCAGGCCACCTGGTCTCCTCTTATGAGAAGTATGGGTTGCTGAAGACAAGTTCTAACACGAATCTTCAGGTTCCTGAAGGTATAGCCATATCTTAACCTAGCAGGGAAACTGACATATGTAATACAATGTACATGTTGAATTGTTATCTTTACTTAGCTGGTCTACATACATGATAAGCTGGCATACACAATTGTACATAAATGCATATATACAGTAATTTTAGTGAACGTGTTAAACGTCACAGTCACATCGGTAGTATTACAGCCATGTTTGAAATTCTGTTCATCAAATCTATCGAATATATAGCGAATATCACAGATTTGTGTTTAAATCTTGTAGCAGGTCATTGATATAATATGGCCACTACACTTCAATACACTATACGCCTGTCTGTAGATATTCACTGAATTGTCTGGTCCATTCTCCATTATTTGCTCACTGCCTCCATATAGCTGGAATATTGCTGAACTATCCAAATAGATATCCATCATTCAGAGTACCCTCACCATACCATAAAACCTCGGGTAACTGGGAATCCAGTTCATTTTCATTATCAGCCTTGGCACGTTTAACCAAAACCGAGGAACTTACAAGAAGACCTTGATGCGAGGCATGAACTGAACAGAACAATAAAAACGTATTCATTACCACGTTTTACATCTACACCCTGTTTTTGGCTATTATGTGCTACTTCCTGTCGTGAGGGGGTATGATTTTACGCCGCTTTTATCAATATTCCAGGAATATCACAGCCGGGTACGCCAGAAATGGGCTTCACACATTGTACCCATGTGGGGAATCGAACCAGCGTCTTCACCGTGACGAGCAGACGCTTTAACCATTAGGCTACTAGGCTACCCCACCGCCCCCTGCTGGCTAAGATCAGTTTTCAGTCTCTCATAGTAATGAGTCTACACATTTTATGACACATGTATTTACCGGTTGTGTTAGATATAAAACTGGATAACCAATACCATAGCATTGATGCGTAACATACATCGCAGACAAGGTTAATATTCGATTTTCTTGGTATATTTTCATTACGTTTAACACAAATCATTTGTTACCGACCTAAGGCTTTTTTGTGTTTAACGTGTTATAATTTCCATTGATAGATCTCTTTTTGATTTACTGTAAATGAATACAATTTTTATTCGTTGCCATGGTTACATTACGTTATTCAAATTTCCATTATAGAAATGCAAGTTGACAAATAATTAAACACATAAGTATTTAGTCGGTATGTTTGTACATACATGTGCATAAACGATTAATAACAAAGTACGGGGAGCCATTAGTGGCAGAAATTGTTCATGATTTTATCGCAATATTTCTTTCAGAGATTTCAAATGCATAACTTAACAGGATGACATTATGACTGAAATACTGACTTAAATGTGAATTTCCTACTTATTAACATACAAGTATGTATTCTAGCTTATCATGTATGTTGACTATCTCGGTACAGATAACAGTACAACCTGCATAACATATGCCAGTCTCCCGGACAGACCTTAAGGTAGTGCCGTAGTGCCACTGCACTATACAGTCAGACATTCACTGACCCAGGATAATGTTTGGGTTCGGGGTGTTCGTCATTGCTTTGACGTTTCTGGCATCGTCGTTGGGGAAGACGGTGGAGTTGTATGTGTCCCCCACTGGTTCCGACTCCAATACTGGGTACGTCCATTTCTACTACAAGACCGATAAGGGCAGCCTTAAGGTAGACACATGGAATCTAACTGAAATTAGATAATGATGATGAAACAGGTATTGTAATGTTGTATTCATTATTCAAGCATGCTCCCTAGCTTCCTGACAGGATTCAGAAATTGTTTTGTAATACTGAATGAGTGAGTAAGTAAGTTTGGTTCTACCCCGCAATATTCCACAACATCAAACTTTGTAACCATGTAAAAGATCGAACGCGGGTCTTTGGAGTGAGAAGCGAACGCTTTAGCCACTGACGATGAAACAGGGACATGGTAAAGTTGGCATACGCTCACGGGAACATATGCTGCTTCACGGGAAGACCAAATACATGGAGTGGTAAGTAAGTATGTGGATATAAGTAACGCGAAGCGTCACTTTCGATATTGGGCTGGTTCCCGACTCCCTTTGCGCGCGCCATCTTGCCATATGCGAGATGGGACCCAGCTTACTTCCGGTACAAGATTTCCGGTGACAAGCGCATATTCAAGAACCGGTTCTGGTTCAAAATTGCACGATCGCCAAATATGACTTTACTAGACCGGGCCCCAGTGTGACCATTTTTGACTGTCACAGCTGTTGACAGTCGTAATAGTTGGCTAATTTGGGGTATGGTTAGATCGAAAATTTGTTATTCCTTCTCTACTGTCAACTGACAACATGAGCCTATTCGTAAAGGTATGTAGTGTTGTTTGTCACGGGGAGTACTAAAGTCTCGCGAAGTGCCGTGGCCAACTTACGAGCCATATAGCAGCACAATTGTGCACAGGAACAATAAATCAATACATGTTGCCATCCTTCTTCAATTTTAGTCATAATTTATCTATCTGTGTGTATAACGCACACGTGTGAAGCCGTGGAGATCCTGAATTGAATTGGTCTTCAGCAACCAATGCCTGTGGTACGAGGCGACTAAGGGGATCGGGTGGTCAGGCCTGCTGACTTGGCTGACACATGTCATCGTATCCTAGCTGTGTACATCGATGCTCATGCTGTCGATCATGCTCAAGATCGTTCTCACCAAAGCGGTACCTACAATATTCCCTGTTCTCATCGGTATTACCGTTGTCCTCTCTCACACTCACACTCATACGCAGGTCAGATGTACACCATCCAGTAAAGACTCTCCCAAGAGTTCTACAGCTGTTGGATACACCTGGGATAAAAGGAAACAGTAAGCTGAATATGTTTGTATTTCTATATTAACCGTAACGGAAAGCAGTATATTGCTATTCGTTATTATTACCGTAACTCGAGGCGGCATATGGCTAAATGTCCCTAGCTGTAACAGTAAGCAGTCGAAGTCTAGTCATAACAGAGGCTGGACTATAAATGTAGTTATACCTCCATATGGATCAAATATTTTATTTATAAATATGTATGGTTTCATGGCAATAAGAAAAATATTTACAAGGCGCCTTTCCAGGTTTCACATCCGCTCAAAGCGCACAATAATGCACAATGCGCACACTCTGATAATCATTACCCCTGATAACCCAAGCTGCTTGTGCGGCGCTGTAAGGTTAATAGTCACATGACTATTTCCCACCGGGTACCCATTTTCTGTTGGGTGAACAGAGGCAATGGTTTTAGCTCTACATAGTCCATTATACGCATTTTCTTGTAAGAATTGTATCTTTGCTATAAATCGAATTCGAATTATAAATTTTACCGAGCTTTCATTGCCAACCACACAACCACTATCTGGCCATTAGCCATGTTTCGTAAACAGCCATCAACGTTGAGATGATGAAGGGGTATTATGACCTCCCGGCAACACTTCACTTCACACATGGCTACCAGTCTCCAGTCACCTTCAGGGCATACCGAGGACAGGAGGTGCATGTGGTATGTAGGTTTACCAAGGACAGGAGGTGCACGTGGTATGTATGTTTACCAAGGACAGGAGGTGCACGTGGTATGTAGGTTTACCAAGGACAGGAGGTGTACGTGGTATGTATGTTTATCAACGACAGGAGGTGTATGTGGTATGTATGTTTATCAAGGACAGGAGGTGCACGTGGTATGTATGTTTATCAAGGACAGGAGGTGGACGTGGTATGTATGTTTATCAAGGACAGGAGGTGGACGTGGTATGTATGTTTACCAAGGACAGGAGGTGCACGTGGTATGTATGTTTACCAAGGACAGGAGGTACACGTGTTATGTATGTTTACCAAGGACAGAGGGTGCACGTGGTATGTATGTTTACCAAGGACAGGATGTGCACGTGGTATGTATGTTTACCGAGTCCAGGTGGTGCACGTGGTATGCATGTTTACCGAGTTCCGGTGGAGCACGTGGCCTATCGGTGGCACCCGTGGACAACACGCGTAATGTCAGGTATTAGACCACAAAAGTTGTTTTGTTCGAAAATGTATGTCTTCAAAATATATCCATATAACATAGAATCCAGATGGAGCCCAGAACCATGCTTATTTTCCGGAATGATCCGAATCTTAGGGACTATAACTTCTTGGTGTTTAGGTAATCTTGTTAATGTTAACTTTCATTTCTGCTGACACTATTACAACCAGTGTATTTAACGGTTCCCCTCCGCTTCCCTCTTCCAACGGTGCACCTGCAGCAGCTTTTCGTATGAAGGTGTAGCTATTGTAACTGTTTTCCCCTGATCAAGTCGTCGGCTAAACAGCACCTTTCTTTCATTCAGTTTCAACATAATAGCTCACTTCTGATTCCGATCAGACACTAAGGCACTATTGTACTACAATTGCAAATGTTTAGTGCAAGGGCACTTTCTCTGCCTAAATAATGTTTGAACTTTTTGTCTGTATGTCATGATGTGTCACGTTTGTCAACACATTAAACATAATGCTGGCACTCTCAGTTCTATTAGAAGCTTTTCTTTACATGAGCTATATATCATTTGACCCTTTATTAATGACGCCTAGTACATAAACTCATGATCAAGTCACAATTGTACAATCGACTTTGCTTTTAGCAGACATGTCTTCTGGATGTGGAAAGGGGTTTGTCGCTTCTATATATCAGATGAAATATCATGTTTTCGATTTTGCCAATCGAACTTAAAATTCAGATAAATAGATGCATTCATGCATGAAAGTCAGCAAGGAGGAGTGCACAACTGATTTCAATGGTAATGCCTAATTCTTGTCTAAATAGCTTATGAAAAAAAATAATCAAGTTGTCTTTTAGTTTGTCATAAGGGAGAGTGGTGACTCCTCTTGTTGATTTAGAAAAGCACAATAAAAACAACTTCTTCAGCATTTCGTTCACTCGGTGATGATGCTATCAAACTGATTGTGTCGGTTTAGACAGGAGGACGACGTCTTCCCGTCAGCAAGTTCAAGGACGTCACAGACCAATCGCTCCTACGAATGTGGAATAATGACGCTCGGACACATGTAAGTAGCTTGCTTTCGAATTGGACATGAATTGCAACACTGCCCAGTTCATTATAGTTACGTTTACTTTCAAAAGGCAATTAGGCACTGTACCTTTATGCTGTGTGACGGTGGTGTATTCTTTCTGAGGGCTATTTTAATGTTTAAATAATTGTTGGATCAGATCAAACAGATTCATCTGCCATCAGTGGGGATCACAAACTATGGCCATTTATCGACTACAGACGGCTGGTTCGACTACAGACTGGCCCCCTTGGAGCTGTTCATCAATGGTGAACCCCTCAGTCTGGCCAGGTGGCCGAACCACGTAAGACACGTACACCAGACATTGAGTAATGGATCGGAAAGGGGCCAGTTTCGCGGAGTAGAAATGCAAAAACCAACAGCAACTAGGAGTTTTACAAAAAAAGGAGATGCTTATCCATCACAGTCACATGTTTAAAGAGTATGATCAACATCTTTTAGAGGATGTCCAAATTAGTCAAACGTTTGCGACAGTACGTGTGTTATTTCAACTTTTTACCGTTAGTCCACTACTGCAGGACTTTATAGATATCACGGCTGTGTCAGATGAGGTGAGGTGACCTAACGTGTATTATTTCCACGTGTTAACGTTGATTCACTACTGCAGGACTTCATAGATATCACGGCTGTGCCAGATGAGCATGGATACCAGTTCTCATACAACACGAACCGTGACTCGAGGTGGGCAAATGAAAAAGAACCATGGGCATATGGATTCTGGTGAGTCTTTCTCACACTGCAATGTAAACGACCTTTCCACTTCAAGATAAGCACTTAACAAAAATAGTACATTTTGCTCACGAACTGTTTTAATGGTCATATTCATGCGAGGCTAATAATTACTTCACATTGCCCGCTCCTGAGCTGACCATTCAAAGACCGCCTTTCATATCGCAGGGATGTTTCTGCCTTAATGCCTTCAATAACAAATAATAGTAAACTCATAATCCATTTAATTCCTATCCAACTTGATATGTGCTTAACATTTGAGGGCTGTCGGGTAGCCTAGTGGTTAAAGCCTTCATTTGTCACGCCGAAGACCCGGGTTCGATGCCCCACATGGGTATAATGTGTGAGGCCCATTTCTGGTGTTTCTGCCGTGATATTGCTGGAATATTGCTAAAAGCGGCGTAAAACCCATACTCACTTACTCACTCACTCATATGTGCTTAACATTTGAATAAGCTCAAACCATGTTGACTGACAGTCGTTTGGTAAAGACGATTATGATATACGTCAGTGTCTTGGATGATTCACTAGGTATTGGAGCTGGGCGGACTTGGCGTTCAAGATACGTAAAATAGATACTCTGAACCACACCATCACTCTCTCGCTGACAAGGACCGCCGTGGCATACGTCCAGGTTAGTTTCAACAGAAAAGATAAAGCCTTTGTGTTTATCAGTCATGATGGATAAACAATGTAAACAAGGACAGTAATGCACGCAGGCCACATCTTGGCGAGAATATGAACATAATAATATCAATACTAAAGATAGTTTGAAAAAGAATCCTGAAGGGCGAGGGGAACAAAGAGAAACATCGAGGGGACATCAACCCATGGGCCCCGAGGGACCAGTGAACATAGTATTTATCTTACCGAACTCCTCAATAGTAATTTTTAACTGTTTGAAGCACGGGTATCGGATCATAGTGGGGAATACAATTCGACAAGACGACAAGAAAAAGCTAATTTAGAGTTATCTAATCACTTGTCACGAGGTGGACATTGGTTGATGTACCATTCGGGCTGAGGGAACATAACCAAACATAGAAGGTACATCAAGCCATGGGCCCCTAGGGACCAGTGAACAACGTATTTCTTACCGAACACCTCAATGTTAATTTTGAACTGTTTGGAGCACGGGTATCGGATCATGATAAGGAATACCAGAGTTAGGCAGTTACTCAGTAGCGACAACAGCCAAAACACTCAACTATTCCCTTTATAGATAATCAAAAGAAAAGACTATATCAATTAAAGTCATACTAATTTATTATTTAAACCATCACTTACATAGCGTTGAAGAAACGTAATAAAATATAACATAGATATATACATGAATACGAAACGGTGATTTATAGATTCGGTCGAACAATAGCATTACTGGAGATTCAATCTCCCCTTCCATCGATTTGCATTAGCAAAACATTGGTAATTATTCGATATAAAGAATTCCTAACACGAAGTAAAAATGAAGTTACTGGTTAACAGTCAAGTTGAACCTACTTAACCTCGCACGTCACTGGTGCCCTGCTGACCTTGTCGTCCACGGCGACGTAAATCGCCGGGACGAGCTGCGACCACTGGGCACGCCAGAAACATGTGATCATGGGCCCCATCCGGGTTCGCTTTGTTTAGATTGAGATTTTGTGCTTGTACGTTTCACCAAAATGGCAAACATCTAAGATTTATATCGCTTCAGGCTTTTTGCAACATTAAACTGACCATCGATATGTAACTGGAATACTATTCAAAGTGGTGTTACACTCCTCTCCCACTCACTGTTTGGTCGCTATATGGGTGGAACAATGCCGATGTGGAAATTAATGTTTAACTCACTCACTGCTTTCAGTAATATTAAAAGTTTGGAGGCTGAATGCACGTAAAGACTATGGGGATAAAATAAAATTATCGATGTGTGTTGGTTTTCTTGTTGTTTAACGCCGCACTCAGGAATATATTCCAGCTGTATGGTGGCGGTATGTAAATAATCCAGTCTGGACCAGACAATCCGATGATCAACAGCATGTGCATCGATCTACGCAAGTGGGATACGATGGAATGTGTGAATTAAGTCAGCGAGCCTGACCACCCGATCCCGTTAGTCGGCTTTTACGACAAGCACAGGTTACTGAAGACCAGTTCTAATAAGTAGTAAAGAATACCAGTTTGTATAATGGAGGTATGTCGGATCTTCACGGGTACGATGCGTGTAAACAGAGTATCTGCTGCCTTTATTCTGACAGGTGTCTACAACCACGGCAACTTGACTGGAATCACCTCACAGGGCGGCTACTTCCGGGTGATAAACATGCTCTCGGAAATTGACGAGCCCGTGAGTTTTCACTGGACATTGTTTCAACATAGAATGTTATTCATCTCCGTTTCTAATCCAGGACTGACATGCACAAAGTCTGTGGCGCTTCTGTTCTTTGACATAGATTTACACTAGCTCAACGCTAACTGAGTAAGGTTTTACAAGTAATATTCAAGCGGGGAACACCCGAAATGGGCCTCACTCATTGTGAGGTGAGGTGAGGTGAAATTGGGTTTAACGTCGTGCTTGAGAATATTTCGCTCATATGACGACGTGCATACGTGTGTATGTGTATGTGCGGCTGCTTGTACTAGCCCAGACTGAAGCTGGTTTTATAGTGCAAGTTCACTGAGATACCATGCCGCAGTGAAGCATGAATACCCCACTCAGACACATTATACTGACTCCGAGCCGACCAGTCCTTGTTGTACCCTTTAATGCCGAGCGCCAGGCAGGGACCAACAAGTACCATATTTTAATGTCTTTTGGTATGACGCGGCCTGGGATCGAACCCGCGACCTTCCGCTCTCCGGGCGGACGCTCTAACCACTACATCACGGAGGCGGTCCCTCACTCATTGTACCTTGGTGGGGTCGGTCTGTTGGTTATTTAATTTAATCACTCAGCACTATTGCAGCTATATGGCGGTAGTCTGTAAACAATCGAGTCTGTACCAGACATTCCAGTGATCAACAAATGAGCATCAAGCTACGCAGTTGGGATACGATGACATGTGTCAACAAAGCTGGTAAGTCTGACCACCGATCCCTTTAGTCGCCTCTTAGGTAAGTATGGGTGTCTGAACACTAACTCTAATCCGGGCCTTCATTGTACCCATGTTGGGAATCGAACCGGGGTCTTCGTCGTGACGGGCAAACGCTTTAACCATTAGGTTACCCCACCGCTCCGCTAAGCGCTGGGATAGCTTTGTGCCAGCGGGCGCAGGTGCAGCCATTGTGTTTAGAAGCACCAGAATACATGTGATCTAACGTCATCAGATACTGTGTACTTTGCAGGGTGAGTACTACATAGACGTTATTACGGTGATTCGGTGCGTGTGACCCAAGACTTCGACAGGTTCCCTGACGTCATCATATATTGTATACTTTGTTGCAGGGGGAGTACTTCATAGACAGGAGTACGGGGATTCTGTACGTGTGGCCCAATACACCGTCACGTACCCTCAGATATTGTGTACTTTCCTTCAGGGGGGAGTACTACGTAGACATAAGTACGGGAATTCTGTGCGTGTGACTCAATATATATAGACGGGTTCTCTGACGTCATCAGATATCGTGTACTTTGTTGCAGGGGGAGTACTACGTAGACAGAAGTACGGGGATTCTGTACATGTGGCCCAATACACCAACAGGTTTTCTGACGTCATCAGATATTGTGTATGCGTCAATGCTTGACGACTGTATCAAGTAAGTCTGATTACGTCATGGAATTATCCACATGTCCTTCATTTTCCGTGATTTGCAAAAATGTAAGGACAACGCATAAGATTTGTATGCATTTGTATGTGCATTTTTTCAGTTTATCTAAAATGTCTTTTCCAGACTTGACCCCGGCGTGTCCAACCTGAGATTTGAGGACTTTACCCTGGAAGCCTGTCGAAAATTCGGAATCGATGCGGAAAACGTGTCTAAAGTAGAACTGCGACAACTTGAGTTAAAGAATACAGGTAACGAATTGGCAATTGATTCAATGTTGCACAATGAACGTATAGTATTTGATATTTTCCGTTGTCATATTATACAAGAACATATGCTTCACACATTGTCCAGCGTGAGAAATCAGAACAGAATCTTCAGCTTGACGCACGGAAGATTAATCTACACTGATATCTTATCTCAACACGTTTCAGGTACATGCACAAAAAAAGCAAAATATTCCTTCACCTTCCTACAGTCAATCTTTCCCTCATGCCTGATAACACTTTCACTCATTTATAATTTTGCTTTCACTCATTGTTACAATTACGATTTCATTCGTTTATTCATTCATTCATTCATTCATTTGACGAATACAGGTAATTGACTACCAGTCCGCTTAGGACCAGGCGATGGAATTCGAGTGACTGTGAATGGTGTTTTTCAAGAGTAAAAGTTTGTCAGACACCAAGGGTGGGCTTTACACATTGTCCTATGTAAGGTAGCCTGTCTCCCAGTTTAGAGTGCAAGTCAGATCTAGGCAACATTGAGAAACTGTGCTGGTCTCTGTTTGTTTAGTGTTTTAGTGGATATGTTTTTAAGGGAAGATAACTTTATTTCTGGGACTAAATGTCCAAACGTGGAACATCGATCAGGATTTTCAGCGGGACGAGCGCACCCTACACACCTTTACTAAATAATTTGGAATGAGACCATGGATCCTTCACACCACTTCATCCGTCCTAAAGTCACGCCATTACATACTTCTTCGGTAACGCCATGGTGCAGATATATGATGAGTCCAAAGGTTAGGGGTAAATGCTCCTCAGGGAAATCTTTTTCTAGGGGAGAAGGGAGAGGGTGGTGCCCCCCCCCCCCCTCCTCCCCTCCTCTCTCTCTGGATCCGCCCCTGAGCCCCTTCGGGTTTAAAAAAATTGCTCCCTTGTTGCCCTTCACAAATTCCCTTTTCTCTCTCCCTTTTTATTTAGTCATTTACCAAAGAACATGCATTCCAGGTTCCTACGTGTTCCACTGTGGAGGAGACTGTCGGTCCGTCACTGTGTCCAGGTGTGAAATACACGATGGAGGTGGAGGCATTGACATATTTGGTAATTATTGTTGCTAGTATCTGTCTCATGCACGTTATTGTATTTCGGTGTGAGTCTAGTTTGCCTAACCAGCTGACGGTGATTATCGATTTGAATTGTGAATTACAAAATTATATGTTCAATTTAAAACCACTAATTTCCTACACATGAACCATACATTGCTAGTTGAAAGATATTTCTGAAGGCGGTGACCGTGTCAACCTTGTTGAAGACATCGAATGATTTGATTTGTAGATTACAAAGGTATATTATAACTTAAAATAAGGCAAACTAATTTCCTACACATACATTGCAAGATGAAACATATTTCTGTAGGCGGCGACCGTGTCAACCTTATCGCCTCCGGTAACGTGGTTGAAGACAACCATATCTGGAAGTACAGTCGGGTAGGGGCAGTTGGACAGGACGCAGTCCACGTTGATGGTGTCTACAACCTCATACGGTACAACCACATCCACGACGGACAATATGCTGCGATCAAGTTCGACGTATGTACCTTTTCAGGAATATCGGATAAATATTTTGCTCGCGGTGTTATAAAATTCGTTACACAGATTGGCAAAATACGTATCATTCCATTGTTTTCTTACACAATCACACTGGCCAAAAAGATGAATGTGTTACTATACCCATTGTTTGAAATGCGAATGTGACGTGGACCCAGCAATCGACTGATGAGCTGATTGCTCTGAATAACATTTCGAAAGAATCAGGCATTAATATGGCGTATACAATGTTAATCAACCAGTGCAGTGTAGCATCATTCCTAATAGCTTTCTAAGGTTGGGTTTAGACATGTTATTTCAGTGGTGTAGTGGTTAGACTGTCCGCCCGGAGATTGGAAGGTCGCGGGTTCGATCCCCGACCGCGTCATACCAAAAGACGTTAAAATATGGTACTTGTTGGTCCCTGATTGGCGCTCGGCATTAATGGGTACAACAAGGACTGGTCGGCTCGGAGTCAGTATAATGTGTCTGAGTGGGGTATTCATGCTTCACTGCGGCATGGTATCTCAGTGGGCTAGCACTATTAAACCAGCTTAAGTCTGGGCTAGTACAAGCAGCCGCAAATACACATACATACGCATGCACGTCGTCATATGAGCGAAATATTCTCAAGCACGACGTAAAACCCAATTTCACCTCACCTCACATGTCACGGTCAAGGTATAAGTAGATAGTAGTTGTTTGGTTTGTTCTTGTTTAACGCTGCACTCAGCAATATACCAGCTATATGACGTCTGTAAATAATCGAGTTTGGACCTGACCATCCAGTGACCATCAGCATGAGCGTGGATCTACACAATTTGGATACGATGACATGTGTCAACCAAGTCGGCGAGCCTGACCACCCAACCCATTAGTCGCCTCTTACGACAAGCATGTTTTGCTGAAGACCAATTATATTAAATAGTAAAGAATACCAGTGTGTATAACGGCGGTATTTCGGGTAATAAGCTCTATACACCTATACATTTTAGTAATGGAGATTACATCTTTTTGTTTGTTAAAAATCTTAAAATCATGAACGGATGCCAAAGCTGTTTCATTAATGCTTGCGTTATCTAAGGAATATCCGTAAAGTATCTTGGTCTCCAGGGTAACGACCACGTGATGGAGTATAATCACGTCCACCACAACTGCCTCAATGCCAGCGACTGTGGTGCTTTCCATGCTACCAGGAGTTGGTCCTTTGTAAGTCATCATCTTCCTTACATAATCATCCCTGTTAAAATTACAAAAGGTTTATTTTAGGTTTGACGCTGGTTTAAGCATCATTATGTTGGTTACGATAGTAATGTAATATACTAGAAGGCTGGTTATAGTGCAAGGTGCACCCATTCACCAATGTGACTAAAAACACGGAATAGTACTGAAAGATCAAAGATTACAATCTTGACCAATCTAGAATTCACACCAGCAATCACCGGAGCCAATGAGAATAGTGAACTGACGCCGACACAGCTTGTTGTGTGTTCATTTAGTGATTGTCAGAAGGCATTCTATGTAACACAGGCTTGGACATTCGTGAGTGCACTAAAAGGTCATGTGGCCTGTGACATATTGGTGTCCCTTATTGACCCATTGTACTTCCGGGCGGTGGGGTGGCCTATTGGTTAAAGCGTCCGCTCGTCCCGTCAAAGACCGGGTTCGCTTCCCTACATGGATAGAGCGGCGTAAACCATATTCAATCACTCATTGTATTTCCATTGTGAAACTTAAATGAGTGTCACCATGTAATTTACTGATTATTCATCTCTGAGTAGTTATTTCTCATTTTCAAAATTTAGTTCCGTACGTAACCGCTGTTTGGTTTAACCTTGCATTTCAGTCTGGAAGTCATCATGCATGCCTTTGTATACAACACATATGTTCCTTTCAATAGTTAGTACACTACTCATTGACACTTCCATCAGTTGAATAACAGACTAAAAGAGACAGGGTTTATTTTCGCCCTCTAAAATCAGTTTCCATCGATATTTTGGACAGATGTTTGTTTCCCTGTCACAGGTCTTTTAACGCCAAAATCATTTGTATGAACAGGATTCAGTGAGTGTGTGAGTTTAGATTTACGCCGCTTTTAGCAATATTCTAGCAATATTGCGGCGTAGGAAACCTTGTGAAAAATATTGTACCCATATGGGGAATCGAGCCGGATCTTCGTCATGACGAGCGAAAGCTTTAACCACTTTAACCCATCTTCTCCAAGATGGTTCTGAGTTTATGTGCCCAATAATATCGTATATATGTATTTTCACTTGGTATGAAATAATTAATAATTACGTAAAGGGCATTTGTATATAGTTATGTTCACCAATGGCAGCGAGGCAACATGATCCGATATAACCACATCCACGATACCATCAGGCTAATGCCAGGGTCAGGTGTCAGGGGCATCATGCTGGACGACGAGTACTCCAGCGTCACAGTTGAACACAACGTCTTCTACCACGTGAGTATAATCGTAACAAAGTTTACGCAACAAGTATGTCTCATTTTTCTCTACAACGTTAATTACAGGACCTGTTTGTATCTCCATCAGACAAGAAACAACGCTGTGAGCGAAATCGAAGAAGCAGAGAAAAACGGGCCCATGGGATAACAATTTCTGACCATTTCGACACATTGATGCTGTAGACTTACAATGGGTTTATTGTATGGGAAAACAGTGGCGTCAAAAAAGGCAATGTAGATGTTTTAGCGTTTTTTAAGTTTTCATAACTGTATGTCAAAAGTACAAGAACAAATCTGAGACAAATGAGACCCGTATCTTACCAAGTCCGTTACAAAATTGACTGAACCCCCAAAACTGGTGCCACAATTCGAAGAGGGGACCGCGTGTTCTTTAATGTCCTGACCACAGACACAGAGCTGGGAGACTACAGATTAGATTAAATTGCCGGGGACAGAAGAAAGCGGTAGCTTCTACGTGTACAATGACAATTATTTATGGACAACAACTTCATTTATGTTGTGCGACGTTTCGATACAGATTCTTGTACTATTGTCATGTGTGCTTGACAATTATATATATGTCATTATCATTAGAGTTTCAAATAATTCACGATTTGTTTGTAGAATGACATTCACGCGAACATTGGTGGCGGCCGTGACAACATCATCCGGTACAACGTCATGTACGACAGTGTATCGGAGAGTATACAAGTAGACGCCAGAGGATCATCGCCTCATTTCGACGTTCATCGAGTACTTGACCGAGATCTGTCTGTAAGACATAACTAGCTATTGCCATAATCTACATTGGCATTGTGTAATCATACATCTAGTTGTTTTCACATGTACGTGGCGGCACCTAGACATTGATGTTACACATTCTACAAGTGTATCTTGTAATTATCGTGTTATGTCGTGGTGCTTGAGATACAGGTGGCTCGAGACAGTGGTTACTGGCTGACTTGCCAAAATTGACTGTTACTCCCTGTGACTGACCATGTCGCCTGGTCACAACCAAGTTTTGTGCCTTCGTGGGAGTGGTTTTCAAATTATCGATGGCTAGGTTGTGTCAGTTCCTACAGATTGGCAACTGCTCCACCTTACGAGTCCTGGGCCTAGATTTTCGAAGCTCTCTTAGCGCTAAGATAGTGGTAAGTGCCATTCATTAACATTATCTTACGACTATCTTAGCGCTAAGAGAGCATCGAAAATCTTGGCTCTGCTTATCAAGTTGTCGCAGGTGTGTTCCAACGGGTTGAGATATGGGGACGTATTTATAAAAATTATTAAAGTGCTTAAGAATATTTAACTATAAGATTTTTAAAGAATTATTTAGGTTTCACTCTTAACTTTAAGAAAATTCTTCATCCATACTTACATTAATCTTGATTTTACTCTTAAAGTCACTCAAACTGGTGATGTGTGTTTTACCGAACGGCGTAGAGCCTGCTGAATTGATATCTACATCTAGTGGATAACTGGGCATCAATATCTCCTTCTCCTTCAACAATGTGTTTTAAGAAGGGTTTATCATCTAACCACGCGTAGAAAGGTCGTGATCTTTGCGTCATGACCCACACGAAGCCATCCTCTCCTGAGCTGCTGTCTGTGTGCCACAGTCTGCTAACAAACCAAATCATTCGCCGCCTGTCGACATCCTTTTAAAGCAGAATTAAGACTTTAGGTTAGAGTAATTTCAAACTGTTTTGGGATTTAACGCTGAGTGGTGCTTTGCCTTAAGTTCCCGTAAAACAGCCTTGAATCAAGTTAGTTGGTTGTTTAATGCCGCACTCAGCATTATTCCAGCTATATCGCTGTTGAATCAAGCATTAAGACGTTAGATCAGTGGAATTTCAGAATTGTGTTTGGAGGTAACGTTGAGTGGTACTTTGCCTATCGTCATGCAGTCTTGAATCCAGAATTAAGTCGTTAGGCCAGAGTAATTTCAAATTTTGTTGGGATGTAACGCTGAGTTGAGATGGACATGTATTTTTCCAATTACATTCAAGATCACGTTACAGACATTTACCTTTAATGAGGCGTTTTTCCAAGAGTATATTGTACATCGCTCGTCACGCCTAAGACCAAGGGTTCGATTCCCCACATGGGTACAATGTGTGAAGCCCATTTCTGGTGTCTCCCGCCGTGATATTGCTGGAATATTGCTAAAAGCGGCGTAAAACTAAACTCACACACTCACTCCAGTTGAAGTGATGGATGAATTCATGTGATCGTAATCCGATGCAGTGAAACATTGTATTGCTGATGCCTTAAGATCACATGATCAACTGAAATGTTACTGGCTGTGGTGTAACCGGTGCCGACAAATGGATTGTACATGTACTGATACTGACATTATGTTGGGTGATACATTTATAACTGGAAAAGTTAAAATATGAATTCCGCTTTATTTCAGTCTGTTCCATACAAAAGCGCTCTGTGGAAAGCTAAATACCCTCAAATGAGTACGTTAGAGACTGGGACACCTCTCTACCCTGAAGGTAACCCGTGCAATATGTGAGTGAGTGAGTGATTTGGGTTTTATGTCGCTTTTAGCAATATTCCAGCAATATCACGGCGGATGACAGCAGTAATGGGCTTCATACATTGCACCCATGTGGGGAATCGAACCGGGGCTTCAGCTTAACGAGCGGACGCTTTAACAATTAGGCTACCCCACATAGAGATGGACGAATTACCTCCATTATACAAGAAGACATGTTATGTCGGGAATCTGTGGAATCCTAGAAGGACATTGTCCCGTTTTCACCCTACAAAACTAATCAAAATGTGTCACAATTAACCAAAGTGCGACGATGCGATATAGTCATTGTTCATTCCATAGGAATCCGTGCAAGCCGTCCCACACATGGATGCAGGTAGTGTAAACCTTTAATCTGACATTTTAGGCCATCTGACCCTACATGTGTACAATTAGACTCGCCATCCACAGGTAACCAGATCTACAAGAACATCTTCTGGAACCAGGGCAATCAAAAGGGGGTTCTCTACTTTCAGCCAAATTTTGCTTACAAGAGATACTTCGATGTCCATGATGACCACGTGGTAAGTAATTATATCATCATCCTCTTCCTGGTCATCCTCCCCCTCCTCCTCCTCCTCCTAATCATCATCATTATCTCATCCTCATCATCATCATCCTCTTCCTGATCCTCCTCCTCCTCCTCCTCCTCCTCATCATCATCATCATCATCATCACCATCTCATCCTCATCCTCATCATCAGTTTGCACTTATTTTCCGTATGTTACCGTTCATTAGATATTGTGGAGATGCGGGGAGACTGAGATGTTATCGAAAAAAATAGCTTGTCCAAGCTAATTGCTGATAAAAGATGCTTCAGACTGCAAATGAATTGTCTGACACAAACATTCACTGTTACTCGACTGCAAGATGTATTTTCAAACACAAGTAGGCTTATAGTTTGAAATAAAATGTGATACGGTTGTGTTTAACAGTAATGAACAGCGCGGACTCGCACAGCAGACATCATTCTGCAACATGACTGCGTTATTCCAAAACCTGCTCACAGGTGTACATCGAAATGAGATTACTGGTTTACCCGAAACTCGGATTGCGGAACCGAAATATAATACGACAGACACCACATTCAGCAACTGTTTTGTTGAAAAGACTTCTGGTTATTATACGAAACTTCCAACTCCCACAATGACATCATTCATCTTTCCTTTATAAATGCGCCTTATTCATGATATACCATGACGACATTTACACATGCCTGTATTATGTGTATGGCGAATTTCCATTATCGAAGCACTCACCTATATCTTCAGACTGTAACACGTATTCAGGACATGCGTCTGACGCAGGTATCTGCTTTCTAGGTACTCCAGAAATCCAATTTCTACGCTCCGGATAATGGCGATTTCCGACTTCGCTGTGGCACCAAACAATGGGCAAATGGTGTAAACTTTGAAGAACCAATAGCTTTGAAAGATGTTGGCCCACGTCAAAGCACAGGTCCAACGTACATGAAGACAGGCTAGTGTATTCCGATCATCTCAGCCCACCATACAGTTACAACAACTGTTTGTTTTAACCCTAAATTATGACTATATGGCTGCAATATTGTCGATTTGCCGTTAAATCACTCACTCACTCACTTTGAAACATGAAAACTTTGTTGTTAAAAAAAATCCAACACAGTTACAGTTATTTAACTTTTAGACATATTTAGTACATCCTGCATTAAGTCTTACTAATGTTGTGTTACATACTACAGTAAATAGTTAAATTAAATACAGTAATATTATTCGAAAGAAAACAATTTCAATGTGTTTGCACTATTTTATTCACAAAATAGAGCTACTTAAGTGTTGGTACATTTTCTTATCTCAGTGTTGCCGACTATACCCGCATCTCCAACTCCTCAGCCGTGTGATCAGTCTACGGTTGCCCCGGAAACAAAGATTCCTGCAACACCGTATATCTCCGATGGATCGGGGCCAAATTCGTTATACCCTAATATTACAGACGGTGAGATAAAGCTATGTCTCCACTATTTATGTGAGAGTTAACGGTGAGAGTATTCTAACTTGAGAGTTAACGTTAGATAAAAGCTTAGACACAACTATGTTAGAGTATTCTCCAAATGCTGAAGAATTAATGCTGATTAGTGTTCACACTGTCCTATCGCCTTGACCACCAACCCTCTGCTAAGGAACAAGTCATATCGCTGACATTACCCATAAGCATCTGATTTGGATTTGGTCTTCAGCAACCCATGCTTGTCGTAAGAGGTGACTAATAAGAGCGAGTGGTTAGGCTTGCTGGCTTGGACGGTTGACACATGTAATCGTTGCGTAGATTAATGCATGGATGTTGATAATTGGATTGAATGGTTCAGACTCTTATATTGGATACCGCCGTCATATATAGCTGGAATATTGTTAAGTAGGGCGTTAAACAACAAACAAATCTTCATGACTGGGGAAGAGTGTACTCGTTTGTACAGAATCCTAAGGCCTCTTAAATTGACTTATCACTTTCAGGGTGCTGGTTCATCACTGACCAGTGTCCGAGACATCCTCGACCCCGTATGTTCCGGGACATGGGTGACCAGAAGAACGACCCTGTGTGGACGAGGGAGGCAAGGTGTCTCAGTCGGGCTGTGGACCAGTGGAAATACTGTGGCTCTAGTAACCGCCATTCACTCAAGGCTGTGTTCGGTCCAACAGGTTGGTAAACAAATGTAAAACGTTTATAACAGAATGTGACTTGTCTAAATTATGAAATTATAGAAAAGAGGTTAGAGCCTTGATCCTTGAGACAACACGACTGATAAAAGTGCTCCGCCAATAAATATTTCCTTTACTTCAAGATCTTACGCACGCAATATTTTATGCACTTAAATGCCTTTTTGTGAAACGATTAGAAAGTTCAAACAATCTTTCCATTTCAATCCAAAGAATTCGTCTTTGTAACACACGTCATATTTGGGTGGTGGAACACAAAATCAGTCGTCTAACCCACTCAGCCATCGCAGCTTCCACAAAAATGGAAGTCGGACAACTGGTTGTCTATGAATACACAATGCCATTTAGAACCTGATCAAATGTAACATATGTTATAGCCGGTCTGGTAAAGTCATTTTTGGCTGTCGGCCAGTTTGGAACAGGAACTGGTTCTTAAATATACGCTGGTCACCGGAAATCTGGTACCGGAAGAAGCGCCTCGCAAGACTTGCGGGCCCTATATGCAAGGTTAACATACTGACCTACATAACATGCAGACTAGGGTACAATCTACGACATCCATTTCAGGTGCCATGACCATTGCTGGCAGTGGTTGCTACAATGCATTTGAACAATGCCCCAAACATTATGCCCATCCTGGTATACATCACGATAATTATGCAGAACAAGCACAAAATGCAAGTACTGATGTGGAGGGTTGTTTATCACGGGCAAGATCAATCTGGACCTATTGTGGATCTTACCCCCAGTATCCCGTCTCAAGCATATTTATGCCAACAGGTAGGTGCTCTCACTTCTTTGTGAACATGACTGACATTTATGTCAGTAGCGAATGGGTACCCGGGGGTAAGTCATATGACTGTTACCCTTCAAGCGCCCAATAGGCAACTTGGGATTTCTCAGTAAATAATGCGTTAGCGCTTGAGCATATACAATTGCGTGGAAACGGAAACGGACGCTTTATAAATAGCCATTATTATTATCATTGTATTATTTACAGAATTATTTGAATATGAATATGTTGTGTTGATTAAAACCATTATGAATAAAACACATGTTTTCAGGGCAACAAACGATCAGTGCAAGAACACTGGTCTCTATATCAGAATAAATGTTCTACAGGTGCCAAAAATCATGGTTCTATCAGTATCAGAATAACTGGTCAATATATCAGAACAATGCGTATGTCTGTATCAGAACAGTTGGCCTCAATGTTAGAACAATGGGTATGCCTGTATCAGAACAGTTGGCCTAAATGTTAGAACAATGGGTATGCCTGTATCAGAACAGTTGGCCTAAATGTTAGAACAATGGGCATGTCTGTATCAGAACAGTTGGCCTCAATAGTAGAACAATGGGCATGTCTGTATCAGAACAGTTGGCCTAAATGTTAGAACAATGAGCATGTCTGTATCAGACCAATTGGCATGAATATTAGAACAATGGGCATGTCTGTATGAAAACAATTGGCCTCAATGTTAAAACAATGGGTATATCTGTATAAAAGTTGGCCTCAATGTTAAAACAATGGGTATATCTGTATCAGAACAGTTGGCCTCAATATTAGAACAATGGGCATGTCTGTATCAGAACAGTTGGCCTAAATGTTAGAACAATGAGCATGTCTGTATCAGACCAATTGGCATGAATATTAGAACAATGGGCATGTCTGTATGAAAACAATTGGCCTCAATGTTAGAACAATGGGTATGTCTGTATCAGAACAGTTGGCCTCAATATTAGAACAATGGGCATGTCTGTATCAGAACAATTGACATGATATTTGGAACAATGGGCATGTCTATGAAAAAAATTGGCCTCAATATCAGAACAATGGGCACGTCTGTATCAGAACAGTTGGCCTCAATCACAACAATTGACATAAATATTAGAACAATGGGCATGTCAGTATGAAAACAATTGGCCTCAATATTAGAACAACGGGCATGTCTGTATCAGAACAATTGATATAATATTAGAACAATGGGCATGTCTGTATCAGAACAATTGATATAATATTAGAACAATGGGCATGTCTATGAAAACAGTTGGCCTCAATATTAGGACAATAAGCATGTCTGTATCAAACCAATTGACATGAATATTAGAACAATGGGCATGTCTGTATGAAAACAATTGGCCTCAATATTAGAGCAATGGGCATGTCTGTATCAAAACAATTGACATGATATTAGAACAATGGGCATGTCTATAAACACAATTGGCCTCAACATCAGAACAATAGGCACGTCTGTATCAGAACAATTGTCCTCAATATTAGAACAATGGGTATGCCTGTATAAGAACAATTGACGTGAATATTAGAACAATTGGCATGTCTGTCTGAAAACAATTGGCCTCAATATTAGAAAAATCTATATGTCTGCATCAGAACAATTGCTCTACATAGCAAGACAAAGGTCCTCTCTATGTCCGAATAGTTTCTCCGAAGTGTCAGAAAAAGCGTCGTGTTTTGGTTTCAAATTGTGTAACAATGACGATACACTATGAGGGCCCATGGTGACGTGATCCGAAACTGTTGCGATTCGGTGATCGAATAGTCTCCCAGCAACGTTTTCTTGTCGAGAGAGGCAACGTAATATATCGGGTTTCAGCCTGGATCACTGTTTACCAGCGTTATATCGTATCCGGACAACACAGTACTGGCTCTTGATATCAATCACAGGAATATTTGGTATAGTAAGTTAACTGACAGTCCTTGTATAGCTGGAATAATCTCAGTGGGACGTACTTTGAGAATTCATTAGTTCTGACACCATTTACGTAAAATCTGAACGACGCACACACACACTTTCGATTTCCTAAATATACTTCCTTTCACAGTTTAGACTCACTTAAAACATTCACGATATGTTATGTATATATATATATGGTTACATCGAAGATTGATTTCTCCCCTAACTTGGGGGAACCAACTGCAAACCTTATGCAGATGAATTGCACGAAGATCGTGCATCATCAAATTGCTGAAAAGCATGTGCAAATATCGAACATGTGAGCAGCTGCGTTTTCACAGGATGTCAACGTTGTCAATTGCCGACTACCAATGACCTATATTACCATTGCCGTATATAGGTGACATGTATGAATAAAGCCGCCAATTAAATATAGTAAAGTCGATTGCTGTATTCAGGGTACCGGAAGTTTATGACACGTACTACTTGTGCTGTGACCTACATCATAAGTCCCGGGTGTTAATGACCTATATTACAGGTGCTGGATGTTAATGACCTGTATTACAGGTCCCGGATGTTAATGACCTATAATACACATGCCGGATGTTGATGACCTATATTACAGGCACCGGATATTGATGACCTATAATGCAGGTCCCAGATGTTCATGACCTGTACTACACATGCCGGATGTTGATGACCTATAATACACATGCCGGACGTTGATGACCTATTACAGGTCCCGGATGTTAATGACCTGTACTACACATGCCGGATGTTGATGACCTATAATACAGGAGCCGGATGTTGACCTATAATACAGGCACCAGATGTTAAAAACCTTTATTACAGGTCCCGGGTGTCGATGACCTATATGGCAACTTGGTTGAGAGTTTACAAGAGCCGTCCTAAATGCTGCACTGGTGTCTGCTATTGGTGATATGTATTACAGGTGCCCGAGTTTGATGAAACGTATTTAAGGTGACATATGTTCACGGCCTGTATGACAACTGTATGACCAACACATATTGCAGGTACCGTCCGTAGTGCAGGTGCCGGATGTTGGATCAAGATATCTTCCTGCCCCGCTGACAAGCAACTGAAACCATTTTTCTATGACGCATGGGGCGCTACCAACACAGGATCGGGTAAAAATTTCAGTTTGATCATTTAAACAAAAATAAGGGCATTACAAATGTATCTTCTTTAAATTGTTTGGTTTAGTTGTTTGGGTTCAGTTTGGATGAAGATTTGAATATAGACATAGATTTGATATCAACGATGAAGATCACCTCTCTTGAAGTTACTGATATGCCAGTACATTTTGGGAAAATACACAAAATCAAAATACGCCAAGTTCAACCGTTTCCATACCAGTAATGAAATCGTGCTCATAATGCACACATTCAACAGGTATACCGGCACTTTCGGAATTAAGACTGATTGCTGAAAGTCTCACAAGAGCTAGAAGAGGCTAACACCACTGATATATTCTTAATCGTGAAGTCGAAGTATTTTCATTCCCAGATGACCTAGGTGATAACTGTTTCGAGAGGGCCACCTACTTCTGGCAACGTTGTGGTTCTCACCGGAACCTTCCCGTCACCGCCTACTTCCGTCCGGATGCTACTCAAAGGACTGTACCAGCAAGCGTCTAAATGTCTACAGACATTAACTCTGCAAAATAAATCCGAAGCTGTGTTCTCTGTTTTGGTTTTTCATAAATGAACCTCTATATAGCAGTGCTACATACGTTGTATTTCTTTTTACGCGAGTGTAATTTAACACGTCAGCAGTAATTCAGGTTCTACAAGGTATCTTTAGCCAATAAAGTGCACGAAGTAATGACCATCGATTCACGCAATCGGGGACCTGTCCGCTGCACTACAATTACATAGCTCTATCTCGTGGTGTACAATATCAGCGACCTGTGACACAGCTACACTGGACTACAATATGAGAGACATGTGACGCTGGACTAAAAATATCAGAGGCCTGGGGCACTGGACTACAACTTTAGAGACCTGGGGCACTGGACTACAATATCATAGACCTGGGGTACTGAACTACAACTTTAGAGACCTGGGGCACTAGACTACAATATCAGAGACCTGGGACACTGGACTACAATATCAGAGACCTGGGACACTGGACTACAATATCAGAGACCTGGGGCACTGGACTACAATATCAGAGACCTGGGACACTGGACTACAATATCAGAGACCTGGGACACTGGACTACAATATCAGAGACCTGGGACACTGGACTACAATATCAGAGACCTGGGACACTGGACTACAATATCAGAGACCTGGGGCACTGGACTACACCTTTAGAGACCTGGGGCACTAGACTACAATATCAGAGACCTGGGGACACAATATGAGACCAATATCACTGGACTACAATATCATCAGAGACCTGGGACACTGGACTACAATATCAGAGACCTGGGACACTGGACTACAATATCACAGACCTGTGACACTGGACTACAATATCAGAGACCTGGGACACTGGACTACAATTTTAGAGACCTGGGACACTGGACTACAATATCAGAGACCTGGGACACTGGACTACAATATCAGAGACCTGGGACACTGGACTACAATATCAGAGACCTGGGACACTGGACTACAACATCAGAGACCTGGGGCACTAGACTACAATATCAGAGACCTGGGGCACTACACTACAATATCAGAGACTTGGGGCACTGGACTACAATATCAGAGACCTGGGACACTGGACTACAATATCAGAGACCTGGGGCACTGGACTACAATATCAGAGACATGTGACACTGGACTACAACTTTAGAGACCTTGGACACTGGACTACAATATCAGAGACCTGGGGCACTAGACTACAATATCAGAGACATGTGACACTGGACTACAATATCAGAGTCCTGGGGCACTGGACTACAATATCCAAGATTAGTGACACAGTACTACAATATCCGAGATTTGTGACACTGGGCTAGGATATCAGAGATCGGTGACTCTGGACTATAATATCAGAGATCTGTGACACTGGACTACAATATCAGAGACCTGTAACACTGGACTACAAAACCAGAAACATGTGACAACAATTAGATCTGTGTCATGTAGAAGAAAGACGTTAATATTACAGATCGGTCACACTGGACAACTGTGTCAACAGATTGGACAACAGATTGGAGATCTGAGTCGGTGGACTAAATTGTACAAGATCTCTTGCGCTGTGTTCGGTGTGTTACAGCAATCTAGACCTGTGACAGTGGAAAATAATTCAGATTCGAATATTTCGAATTACTTTTAGCAATTCTTCCTGCAATATTACAGCGGGGAACACCAGAAATGGGCTTCACACATTGTACCCATGTGAGGTATCGAACCCGAGTCTTCGGCGTGACGAGCGGACGCTTTAACCACTAGGCTACACCACCGCCCCCACTCAACGTTAATGCCACAACAACGTTAATGCTATGTGACGTTCGACGAGAATTTTAATGATATGTGACGTTCGACCAGAACGTTAGACTTTCTTCATTTGGGCTACAATGAGTTCAATGTGTGTGATATTTCTTAGGGCTTGGAGATTATAATTTTTTAACATATTCAAATGCTTTAAAAAGATGATTACGCTTCATACTTTAGACATAAAGAAATTAACAGCAACAATAATAGCTTAGTCTAATAATTATAATCTAACAATAAATAGTATGTATATAGAATAGACTTCGGCTCGGACTACACTTCACCGTCAATTTTTGCCATGTAAAAAGCTTCATTTCTGCTCAATTCACAACCGGTTTCCGTTGATATAATTATTGTAATGATGTAATTATATTGGAATATTCAACTGCTTACGAGTACTAACGCTAAGTTGACATCATAGATGTGCAGGTTGTATTTTGACGGCAAATATCTATTACAATGATCAGTGTCAGTGTAAGGTAAACACGTCACAGGCGTAATGTAGGCGTTTCGATTTACACAGACAATATCGTATTTCAGCACACGATATACCATTGAGGTATATGAGGTCGGGGAACACCAGACAGAGAGAGAGAGTTATTAAAAAAAACACATTTGACCCAGATCTTCACGGGTCTTTGGTCCGGAAATTGTAACATCATCACTAATGCTGGACCCGCATCATAAATATAGGTCACATCCAGTTTGTCACGTAAGAGATACACACCCGCGTGCAGGTAACCAGTCACGATGCTCATGACCTTATTTGCCGACAGTTGGCCTCGCAGCTACCCTTGTGCCAAACCGTTCACTACCATCACCTCGCCTGGTAGCCACGTCGATCTCTGATAGCCGTTTTGTCTATATTACTGGATATACTTTGGAACTGTTAAAATATTGGAACCATGTCTCAAGTAAGTTTTCAGTACGATCTCAGTTTGCGTCTGTGTAGTGTGAATTAGTATATCGTTGCATTTCCACATACAGACACCACGGCAAGGTCAATGGGGCACAGCGAGTGATAGGTCTGGCCATAACGATCGATGATCGGCAATGTCATCTATAGGAACAGTTATTGATGAGTATCTATATCAAAATTGTGTTATCGATAATATCATACACTAACTTTTGGGATGAACATAAGTTTTATTTTTCTCACAAAAAATACAATTTTCGAACTTTACTTATGGCCTGCTTCTAAATTACGTTCAGGACACTGCTTTATTAATAATCCATGCAAAAACATGTCACCACCGCTCACCAGTAATATGGTCGATCTCTATTCTGATCTATATCGACAATCATCCCAAGCGAGTGGACATTCGTGCATATCTGATTGTGGGTCCCGGCAACCACCTGAACTATGTACTGTTCACCTGTATTACTGGGAGCTCGCTCGGCAGCCACCCGGACTATGTAGCCTTCACCTGTATTACTGGGAGCTCGCTCGGCAGCCACCCGGACTATGTACCCTTCACCTGTATTACTGGGAGCTCGCTCGGCAGCCACCAGAACTACGTACTGTTCACCTGTATTACTGGGAGCTCGCCCGGCAGCCACCCGGACTATGTACTCTTCACCTGTATTACGTCACATCGGCAATCTTTCAGCCATATCGTCACGAAAACAATTTATACAATACAAAAATGAAGAGTTAAACCTGTCGACGATTGCCAGTTAAAATACTAGAGTATTACAGATATGAGCATGAAACTAGCATGTGAAACTAAAACATTGTAATTAAAGAAGACAATACAATATAAAACAAGGGCTATAGATTGCCAGCATCTGAAGGTAGATCACCATACTAGGAACCATGGGGACTTACATTACTTTTGCTGCCTGCATGGACCCTAGCTGGATTTACATCATCCCTTCAGCCGCTGGCGATTGTAGGATAATTTAGCCGAAATTTAAAAGAACAAAATACTACGTTAAAAAAACCTGGTACGTGAAAATTTTACTTTGAAAGTTTTTGGGACTTACGTACCCTTTCAGGAGGACTTCAACCCCCTTTGAGGATACAGCCACAAACAATCTAAGTTGATAATTTGAACTACCAATTATAAAACTTTATCTATTTACAAAACATATATCAAAATTCATTAACAAATCTATCTCTTTTAAACATTCAATGATTAAATGATAATTAACTTTATTACAAAGGTCCTCTACTGTTTTGATATTGAAATATTTATCCCTTATGATGGAGAATTCAACACAGTCAAGCAGGACCCACTTCGTCTGCATCAGATCACGGATGTACGATCTGATGGAAGCTTTGTAATCCGAGTATTGAATGAGAAGTGGTGTCACAGATTTGTTGAGTGCTGCCTTAGCAGCAAAATCGGTCATAGTGTTACCAGATATTCCAACATGGCTGGGTAACCAACAGAGGACGATGTCATATTGGCCAGTAGCAAGCTCATGGTATAATTCTATTATTTCTATTAAAAGTGGATGTGTGCAAGAAAGATTTTTGATATGCCTCAAGACACGAAAGAGAGTTGGAAAATATTATATATTGTTTATATCAAGGGTGTTTTTAATATATTTAAGAGCTGTTAATATGGCGTTAGCTTCTGCTGTGAAAATAGAGTTGTTATTTGGTAATCGGGAAGATATTGTTCTGGATCCAATGACAGTGGCACAAGCAACCGCGCCATCATCCTTGGACCCATCTGTAAATAAGGATTTGCATGCAATATTATATTTACTTATTAATTGATTATATTCTTGTTTAAATTGTAAGTCATTAGTTTTTGAATTTTTTAATTCAGTGTGTGTTAGGTCGACTTGTGGCCTAACCAATTGCCAGGGAGGAGGAGAAAGAAGATTGGAAGGAGATATATTCTCCAACCCAATGCCAGCAGCAGAAATATATTGTTGGATTCTTATCCCAAGAGCTGGAACAAGTGAAGTTTTTTTATTATACAAATCCTCATAAAGGGGATTAAAACGCAATTGTGAGCAAGATTGGATTCATTAGAATATAGCTTTGTGATATATTGTAAAGACAATTTGATACGGCGAAGTTTTAAGGACGGTTCATCCGCATCAACGTAGAGACTGCCAATGGGAGAGGTTCTAAAGGACCCAAGACAAAGTCTTCGACATTGGTGGTGTACAGAATCTACCAGTTTTAAGTTACTTTTGCAGGCTCCACCATAAACGATCGAACCATAATCAAGTTTAGAACGAATTAGTGCTCTATACAAGTGAAGGAGGGTCGACTGATCACCTCCCCACTTAGCATTGGAGACGACTTATAGATCTAATGCCTTCAGGCATTTTGCCTTAAGATATTTAATATGAGGTAAAAGCGCAAGATGTCAAAATATAACAACGTTACAGATAATATGCTACCGTGTGGGACCACCTGAACTTTGTACCCTTCACCTGTATTACTGGGAGCTCGCTCGGCAGCCATCTGGACTATAAACTGTTCACCTGTATTACTGGGAGCTCGCCCTGCAGCCACCCGGACTATGTACCCTTCACTTGTAACACTGGGAGCTCGCCCGGCAGCCACCCGGACTATGTACCCTTCACCTGTATTACTGGATATGCTGTAAAGCTATATACTCATTGAGTATATACAAACTTATACACATTGAAGCACGTCTTCTTATATACAGAAACATTAAACATACTGAGAGAAACAAATAAAGGATCACATGAATCTTCAAGCGTTCCTTTATTATTGTCCAGTTTTCATCACCACAGCGCTAACCAAAGCAGGTGATAAAAACTGGAAAATAATAAAGGAACGCTTGAATATTCCTGTGATGCTGTATTTGTTTTTCTGAGTATATATATTTCTGATAAATTGTACAGAATCAGGATAGGGAAACAAGGAAAAGGCCTCTCAAGACAAAATAACATTTATGGGGCTTGCATTTCATTACACTGTTACAAAAATATTATCCTATAGATAACATTAGACATACAATATACATGTATGTAAACATCCATACAGCTAAATTAGTTTCAATTCTGCAAAGGGCAAAATGAAAATTTAAGTTTCATTAAATCTTCTTGAAGTGACAATAAAGTTATGTACTTAATTGATGCTAGTGAAATATTGAACTATACTCACACCTTCAAGCATGTATTATATCATGATACATTGAACTATACTCACACTTTGAAGCATGTCTTCTAGTATACTGACACATTGAACTTTACTCATACTTTGAAGCATGTGTTCTTATATACTGACACATTTAACTATGCTCACAATTTGAAGCATGTCTTCTACTATACTGACACATTGAACTTTACTCATACTTTGAAGCATGTGTTCTTATATACTGACACATTTAACTATACTCACAATTTGAAGCATGTCTTCTACTATACTGACACATTGAACTATATTCACACTTTGAAGCATGTCTTCTAATATACTGACACATTGGACTATACTCACACTTTGAAGCATGATTGTGTTCTTATATACTGACACATTGAACTATACTCACACTTTGAAGCATGTCTTCTAATATACTGACACATTGGGCTATACTCACACTTTGAAGCATGATTGTGTTCTTATGTACTGACATATTTGGCTATACTCACACTTTGAAGCAGGTGTTCTTATATTATGGGGGCGGTGGGGTAGCCTAGTGGTTAAAGCATTGGCTCGTCATGCCGAAGACCCGGGTTCGAATCCCCACATGAGTACATTGTGTGAAGCCCATTTCTGGTGTCCCAGCCGTGATGTTGCTGGAATATTCCTAAAAGCGGCGTAAAACCAAACTCACTCAGACAGTCAGTTTTATATTATGATACATTGAGCTATGCTCACACTTTGAAGCATGTGTTCTTATATACTGATGCATTGAACTGTGTCTCAAGTCCTATACATTGATTGTGTTAATGTCTCAGCATATCTTGTGGATAACCTGACGCCAGTCTCCATGGCTTCCATCTTGATTTGAGACTTGGTATTATACAGGCTTACGTGGAATGCCAGGAGTAAATTGTACTTAAACAACCAACAACAAAACAACACACTAATGTGAGTGAGTAAGTTAATATTTATTTTATTTATCAATTTTATAACACATTTAATATGACAACACAGTGCCATATAAAACGTGGTGAAATGTAGCACATGTTATATTTGGGACTACTTTCTCTCAGTAAAGTACACATACTAGTATGTTTGTTAGGTTGAGGCCCAATCGGAATTCGAACCCCCACCCAGGCACCTAATCGCCAGCACACAAAGACAGGAGTCTTTATACAAGAAAATGATGGGGACCTTGGCATGATTTCTAGCTGTCGCATGACCAATTATACAAAAGGGAGGGTGGAAATTTGGTACATTCTTTGTATTAGTTTGAACTAAATAAATACTTCTCTAAAACACATTTTGAGTAGGTACGCAAGTCCCCAAACTTCAAGGTCAGTTGAGCACTACCACACCTATAATCGTATATTATTTGTTATTTTTAATAATGGCTAAAGCTCAGCACAATTGCCAGCGGTTGAAGGGATGGTGTATCCAACTAAGGTCCATGCAGGCAGCAAAAGTACTGTAAGTCCCCATGGACCCTAATATAGTGATCTGCCTTCAGTTGTTGGTGATCTATAACCCGTTTTTATTTTGTACTGTCTATAGTGATTTAAGTTTATGATAGCGTACTAGTTTTAAATTAATATCTGCGATACTCTAGTATTTTTACTGTCCTTCGATGACATGTTTTTACATTGTAAATTTATTGATTTTAGTATTGATATCAATTAAATAGTTCTCGTCAGGATATGGCTGAAATATTGCCGATGTGACGCTCAATCGGAACTCACTCACTCGTTTTGAGTATTTTCCACCCAACTCCACCTCCAGACGTACTGGCAACAGGCTTGTGAAACTCTTGTAAGATGGTGGCTAGGTTATCTGTTGTAAAGGGGGTAAATGGCCGAAAAGACACCTGGCTGACCTCATTTCACAGGGGGGCAATGGCCTTGTACTGGGCTGACCTCCGAAAACACGGTCATGGGTGTCCGCCGTTGGTGTCGGTGGGCAATGACATTGTACTGTGGGAAAAATAATATTATGAATGTTATGGGAACTTTCCCAGTAATATAGAAGATTTCAATAAGGGTATGTTGTTTATCAATTTACGCTGGAGCCCCAGACGCATTGACTTATTTCAATACCTTAAAACAAGGCAACCTTCGTTTGGAATTATATTTTAAGTCACCGCTTCCGGAAGGCATCACCTGTGTGATTTTCAGTGAGGATTGGATCATTTTTGAAGTGGACGAATCACATAACATTATCTGCACCATGAATACAAGACAGCTGCCACCCCCCTTGAACAAAGACAGTGTTACTAAAGGGATGAAAATCAAAGTGCTTGCTGCCGATCAGTTACCACGAACCATATCCACATATCCCAAAGGATACATTTTGAATAACCAAGCCTCTCATCAACCTGGACAACATTGGGTACGTATTTGGATGTAAGATTCGAAACACACAGAAGTTTTTGACAGTTTGGGAAGAAAGCCTGAGTATTATCAGAGGACATTGCACACATTTCGACAATGGAATGGTGCTTCTTTCCAACACAATACACGGATACTTCAAAGTGAAAACAGTAAAACTTGTGGACTGTATGCTTTGTTTTATGAGATGCTGAAAGCCAGTAAATAAGGGCAGACGATTTTCAATAGAGAGACGTTTAAGGATATGTCCATTATGTAATTCGGCTATAGAAGATGAAATTCACTTCGCTTTTGTATGCCCACATTATGCTGATTTAAGAAAAAAATATATCCCAAATAATTACCTCTTAAAATATCTTCATCTGCCTTTGCTTCCATTCTATCTTCCCAAAATGAAAATGTAATAGGTAATCTTGCGCTTTATGTAAAACATGCTGTTTTCCTTAGAAGCAATATCTTATCTGAACTGTAATTTCTTTGTGAAATGTCTGTAACATGTGCTGTATATATATTTGTATTACTTGTATATGGGCCGGAGGCCTTAAGTACAATAAATATCTTTGACTTTGAGTACAAATGCTTAATTTACGTAGGAATTTATGTCAAATTTACATGTGTTTCATGGACTGAAGGTAGGACGTTGTATACATTTGAATATAACATTTTCAATGGTATACTTATATTTAGTCAAACGGTAAAGAACGCTGATCTATATCACATTTAACAAAACCTGTGTACTGAACCCGTGTAATTTGGAGAGGGGGGGGGGGGGGGGGGGGGAGCGCATGCTTTGAGATTTGATAACAGCTTTTATTTACACATGACAGGCAAGAAAGGTTACAGAGTGTGGATAATATATCTAAACATTTTGTAAAAAAGACATGGACCAAGTGATAACCTCAACTAATTACGTGAGAGGGCGTTTTTATACCCAAAATTGAAACCGGATTCAGCCAGTTTGTGGTCACTAAAGGTTTTTCCAGTGGATTGGATATTTGTTGTTGTTTGATTCGTTCAACTGGTATGATTTGATGATGTCACACCGGAATGAATCGCCTCATGTGTGCAACAATCACACTATAAACCTATTGGTGCAAAACGATTTCGTGATATCAGGATGGAAGCGTTTCATAAGTACTATGCGGTTTCCCACGGTCACACAGTCCAGGTCACTGCACCCCCGACACCACCGGTGGACACCTATGACCGTGATTTCTTAGATCAGCACAGTACAAGCTAGGTCATTGACCCCTGTGAAATGAGGTCAATCAGGTGTCTTTTCCGCCTTTTAACCCCCCCTCCCCTTCCCCCCCCTTTACAACAGTTATCCAAAACGCGTCATCACAGAATATAGAAGTCGTGTATCCATAAAAATATTCTCATTCTTTATCATCTCAACTTCTAAAATTCCCATCAAGGAAGACTGGGTTGCTGAACATTACATCACTCCCATCGTGTTCTCCCCAGTTACTTCACATTTCAGTATCATTTTTCTGACTTCAGGCTCACCTAGTGGAAGTTCCTGACGATGGCGGTGATACTTGCACGTTGATAAAAGACAACGGGGTCAATTTACCAGTCTTCCCCGATGGGGTAACTATCGATGATGTACGCTCTGTAAAAATACGCGGCGATGACATCATGCTGTGCACGTATCCCAAATCAGGTAACATTATACCGCATCATCTATCCTCTTCTATTGTCTTCTCACTATAGTAACATATTTTAAAGTTATGAGATTAAATATAAACAAAGAGCAAGGACTGTTGTTAAACATAATGCTTAAAGCGGTCTCTCATCATGCTGAAGGCCCGGGTTCGATTCCCCACATGGGTACAATTTGTGGAGCCCATTTCTGGTCTCCCCCGCCTTGGTATTGCTGGAATATTGCTAAAAGCGACGTAAAACCATACTCATTCAATCGAGTGTCAAAAATACTCAAAATTAATCGTAGTGTGTGTGTGTGTGTGTGTGTGTGTGTTTGTTTCTTTTGTTTCTTGTTGCTTTCCTCTTCTTAGGAACCCATTGGGTTCATGAAATAACACGAGAGCTCCTCACGGGTGAAATAACTAACGATGACGTCACAATGGGCCAGACCTTCATGGAATGTGCGTCAGAAGTGAAGTATGCCAACCTCCAATCCCCGAGACTCCTCTGCTCTCATTTGCTGATGAAACATCTGCCAGAAGACGTTCTTAATAAGAAAATAAAAATCATCACTGTTCTAAGAAATCCAAAGGACGTAGCAGTCTCCTTCTACAATTTCTCGAAAACGTTTCCAGGTGCTAAATACAAAGGGAAGTGGGAAAACTATTTGCAACCTCTGTTCCAGGGAAAGTGTGAGTATTCTTTCTATCTATTATGATGATATATTTAAAAACAAATCTCACAATTCCGATGACATCCGTGAATATGTATTATGATTAAAATAGTTTGATACCTTTTGTGTCTTCATCTGGTCGTTCTTCGAACAACCATTGTCCTTTGTCGTCACATCGCCCTGCTCTCTTATTATCCCCCACAACGACGAAGTTCCGGGGATATAGAAACGAGTTCGCCCCCCTGTGCGTCCATGTGTCCGTGCTTCCGTCACACTTTGTCCGAAGCATATCTTCTAAAATATTCGTGATAGCTTAATCAAACTTGGAACACATGTCAACCATGGTCCTTCCCTTTTAGGGGTTAGACCCAGATGCGAATTTCATTTTTTGCGGTTTCCATGGAAACATAACTTAGGCTGTGACTGTGAGGATGTCATCTTGTCCAGAGCAGATCTCCCAAACAATACATGCTAGCTTCATCAAACTTGGTACATATATCAAGCATGATCCCAAGATGTGCCTTTGAGGGGTTAGACCCAGATATGAATTTAGTGTTTTGCTGTTTTCATGGGAACATGACTTAGGCTGTGGCTATGAGGATGTCATCTGGTTCCGGGGCAGATCTCCCAAACTATACATGCTAGCTTTATCAAACTTGGTACATATGCCAAGCATGATCCCTAGATGTGCCTTTTAGGGGTTAGACCCAGATATGAATTTAATGTTTTGCTGTTTTCACGGAAACATGACTTAGGCTGTGACTATGAGGATGTCATCTAGTCCCGGGGCAGATCTCCCAAACTATATATGCTAGCTTTATCAATCTTGGTACATATGCCAAGCATGATCCCTAGATGTGCCTTTTTGGGGTTTAGACCCAGATTTTAATTTTATTTTGTGTGGTCTCCATGGAAACATGACTCAGGCTGTGACTATGAGGATGTCATCTAGTCCCGGGGCAGATCTCCCTCACTATATATACATGCTACCTTTATCAATACTTACCATAGTTTTGATGAAGATGTTTATAGGTCTTGTGGTGAAAATTCCTCCGTCTATCACCTTTCTTAGTATCTTTTAATCTTCTACCATCTTACCCAAATATACTATGGAAATTCTTCATGTAATTATTTATTTTGTGCATATATACCACGAAACCACCTTATTTATTTTTTCTTTAGATATCTTATCTAGAAGCCGCATTCGTTCTTATTACTCATGCTTAATTGAGCAATTCATTATTTGCATTGGTCGTTGAGGCATCATCGATTGGTCGGTCAGTTCGATGCCATCAACTTTACCGAAATGATCGATGATGCTTTTGACCGGTCGTTTGAACGATCCATTATTACGGCCGAATACGTTGAGTGCGTTAAACAAACGAACTGTTCAGGAAGGCCGATTGTAAGACCATCAATTGAAGTTTCGTGCTGAATAAATGGAATACTACAGTATTCCGGTAAAATTTCATCATGGTTGGAATAATATGACATATTAACACCGGCAGGTTTTAGTATGGGTGATCAAATAACGCACCGTTCAGAATCGAGTGGTTGGACGGCGAACAGGCGATGGCGACTTGTTCCCCTTCAGTTCAAATAATTTCGACCAGTCTTGTTTTCCAAACCATAATGTCATTGATTCATAAATATTTTGTCATCATCGCTGGAACAATCCACTTTAAACAATGCCCGTAGACGTATACGTGCCAGCGTTCATATCCGTTCCGTCGTAACGCTTCCGTTATACCGAAATTGTTCCAGTAAACGGCGAAAGACATCAGCGTTAGTCTAGATAATTGCCATATACGTCAAATGGAAGATGTTTATGTGGAAGCCCTCCAAAGACTAGGTATGGACTGTAGCAGTCGAAGAAATGGTTAATCTTTAAACATTTATATCATCATCGATTTTGCTTCATTCGCGATTTTCAATTTTTCCTGTACACCAAAATGAATCATTATGTTCCCATGCATAAACGCAAGTTCAGTATACTTTCGAATGCGTAATAAACATCGTTAAAATGATGGTACAGAAAATGGAGTGAATGGTTCGCTATGCCAGCAACGATGGATGTCTTTTATCAGGAAAAGAGCGAAGATCGAATGAATGGCGATTGTCATTCAATAACACCAGTACTCTGATCATCGCGTTTATCTCCCCGTAAATGATGACTGAATGATCGCGTCTGGGGATCCTCCGTACATCCCAACAGCTAAATAAGTTCATCAGTCATTTCATCGAAGTCGAATCAACCCGCTCGATGGCCCGGTCAGGGCCGGTTTCCACAATGTTAGGTATCGTTGCCGTTAAGTTCATGGTAACTATGGGTCTGACGATCATTCACCGTTTTAATTCAACTTCGAATTTGTCTTATTCGAAAGGCGAATCCATCATCCGTTCTACCAAAATTAGTTCACCTTCGTCCTTCATTCGACCCTGGATTTACCTGAATCCGAACGATCAGCGATATATAAACCGAATTTCATCAGAGAATATGAATGCCCCATCACGCGACGCCGGTACTTTTGATATCCGTGCCCACTTAATGCTCGTCGATTTTGTTAATTGACGCCGGTATTGAATATCGATATGGAACGACGTCGACATGGTACCGGTCGATGTTTGATTATGCCCTATAAACCGGAAGGCCCGGTTTTGCCGTCGGAAAAGATTCCGTCAAGTTTCACGCACGGCAACATCTGTCGAGGACCGAATGCTCGTAGAAGGTCATCAGTGGTTCGTGTTGCCATCGATGTTAATGGACGGAATAGTTACGATGGCGACGGCAATATCTGGACACTTCATTTCATAACCGTCCGATATCCAGTTCCCGTCGATTTTAAACGGTATTGTTGAACAATATCGGCTTTTCATGATTTCGCGTCAACTTTCACCCAGATGGTAACCCACGTTTGACGCGAAAGACGCCAGCTGACGTGCGCTCTGGCGACGGTTTTTCATCTGTTCGTTTCAGCTTTAAACCAAACGGAAAATGTTAACAATCGTTCATGGTCATCAGCGTTGATGGTGAAACGAATTGTTTTCCGTTCTCCTTCGGCGTTGCCGCGTCGCGACCGAATTATTGACGTCAATAACAACTTTGTTCGCCATTCGTATTCGCTTCCGCCAGCACGTACGGTATGGTGCGTTCAACTGGTTACCATAATGAAAAATCGTTTGTCGAAAAGATGGCAATGCGCGATCCAGCATAAAAAGCCAGATAAACTTCGTTCAGTTCCAGACGATCGCCACGCCGAGCTCATGTTCAACGCATTGAACGATGACGCTCGTAATGTTTTAAAGATCACAACCCGTTCAAAGTCCGGTGACTTTGTTCAGTGCTAAATCCACCGCATCAGTCCAGCACCAAAGTCAATTTAACTCCATAATGCCCGTCCATTTGAAGTATGTATACCATGTGCATGCGTAATTTATAAATCAGGTTACGATTTGTTCGTTAATAGTACCGTTCTGTCCAGTCGATATTATGACCCAGGTACCGTATGGCATGAACCGTTCGGCAGTCAGTGGCATATCCAGGTGCATTTAACCAGTACGGCGATTTGAAAGGTTCAGAATATATGGTAAATATGATCATGATAAATACGACATCATCACCATTTCATTTTCATCACAAATGAATGGGTTCTTTACACCAAATTTAAATTTATTGGTAAAAGCAATCAATTTGGTTTTGCCACTTTACCAGCTTCCATGAAAGTAACCGCTAAACTGTTTCGCCGAACCTTCCGAAAGTGCAAATGCGTCCGGAAGTAACCAGGTGAACTTAGCGAACCGCATCGACACTCGACCAGCATTCATTTACAGCCCCATCGGTTAAGAGAAAACCATTTACGCCTTTGAACCAAAACGCCATCTTCCGTCCTCTGAACCCATCTCTTCGTCTCCCCATCCTGTAGTAACAACTTTGTTTTTCAACAATCCAGTGCTTTATAAAGTACACAAATACAATATATGAGGATATATATATATTTATTATCGAACGCATGATTTCGCGAATTTCACCACGTCAAACGCCAACACCAATTCCATTGCCATCTGCAATCCGTTTTCACATTGTTGCTGTTTAAATGGACGTTTGCGTCCGCATTCCAGCCAACCCATTCCGCTGTATTGCCAGCACAATGAAGCCACTTGCGCACCGTGATACGTTGAATATTACAGCGGAGGAACCAACCGCCCCACCGGCATAAAGACCAGTCAGTGCCCTCAACCAGTCGCCATAATGACCACCCGATCCTTTCAGTCGCCTCTTACGACAAGCATAGATTGCTGAAGGCTCATTCTAACCCGGACCTTCACGGATGTCCAGAGAAAGAGTGTGTATAATGGTCGAACACAACCAAGCACTTGATGAGTGTTCGAATTTGCAAAAAGCGTGAAAAATGGCCAACAATGTTCACTTTACAGACCAGACGTCAAATGTCTGTCTCCAGAAATGCAGAGGTGAGAAAATATATAGAAACATTTAGCATCGCCCTTGTATAACGTGCTGTTGTGACTAGTCATATGTTACGGATAAATACCTATTTTTTAATGTTTTATCTGTGATACTGTCTTTACTGTCCTTTGCTGACAAGTTTTATATACTCTGATTTTCGTGTTATTCTGGAATCATATTGTTATAGTGCAATATGATGATGACAAATTACCTTACATTTCAACTCACTCACTGCAATGTGACAATGCAGTGTGACGTGATATTTCAGTATGCAATCAACCAAGAATGACAACAGGGGTATGCTCAGATCAATAATGGGTCATTAATATGCTCCCATTAATAAACTGAACCACAAAAGAAACTTTTGCACATTTGAAAATAATATTTCGAAAATGAGCAAGATAGGTTGAAACCCAAATAGTCATAAACACATAGCCCAAACGCAACCTATGCTCAGGTAAACGTTGAACCGGCAATATGCACGTGTCTTGTTGAAATTGCGAAATATTGGAAATCACGTGACCCCACTACAGGCGGAACTGCACATGCCACATGGGTATAAAAACTGCACAGCACCGATGTTAGACATTCACATTGGGAAGAGAACACCTTGGAAATGGCAAGACGGACAGCAGAACAACGCGAGCGAGCAATCGGAATGATTCAGATGGGGGCAACGCATACCCACGTTACAAGAACCTTTGGTTGTTCCCGTGTTGCCATTTGTAACTTGTTGCAACAATACAGGCAGACTGTACGGACATTGGACAGGCCCAGAACATGGAGACCACGTGTCACCACGCCACAGGAGGACCGGTACCTGCGTACGTTGCACCTCCGCAACCGCTTCCTCACGGTGACGTCATCGGAGGCGCACGCTTTAGGTCGGCGGATCAGCACAACCACGGTGACCAGAAGACTTCGGACAGTGGGTATCAGGGCTTATTGACCATTTTGACCGCTGAACATTGCCGCAGGAGACTACGATGGGCGAATACGGTACGACGTCGGCAACGTCGGAGATTGGCAACGCGTGATTTTTACGGATGAAAGCAGGTTCTGTTTGTTCACTGTTGATGGCAGACAACATGTTTACCGTCGCAGAGGTGAACGTACAGCTGCTTGCTGCGTACAACAAGTCGTTCCGTACGGTGGAGATGAAGTCATGGTGTGGGGTGGCATTTGTGGTGACCAGACAACGCCACTAGTCGTCATTAATAGAAATCTCATGCTTAACGTCACAGGGATGACATCCTTCTTCCTGTGGTACTACCCTACTTTCAGCAACAGCCCTGGGGTGTTCGGTAGCAGCACGACAACGCCAGGCCTCACACAGCTCGTATTGTTGTGAACTTCCTTGCCGCAAACAACGTCGACGTCTTACCGTGGCCGGCATGCTCTCCGGACCTAAATCCCATACAGCACCTCTGGGACATCTTGGACAGGCGTGTTAGGCCTCCGACAACACCCTCCCACCAACAGACAAGAGTTGGTACAAGCTCTACAGGCCGAAAGGAACAGCTTGCCACGTAACCTCATTAGACGTTTGACGTCTTCGGTCCGACGTCGAGTTCTTGCATGTGTGGGTGCACGGGGTGGCCATACACGGTATTAAAGTGACACATTTTGTGACTGGAACCACTATCCGGGTTTGAATGAATTGTACTGGACATCTGGATAACCGAAATTTTACCCCCTACTGGCTTTGGATGTCTGTAGTGCAATGTGTGATCGCAGAACGCCAATTTTCTGTTCTTCAATGTTTTCTGGCATTGTTGATATATTAAATATACTTTACCTCAAACTTCTATTGTTTTCAGTTTTGGAATTAGAATGATTTCAATCTGGTGCAAAGCTTCTTTTTGCCGGTCAGTTTATTTGTGATACAGCCTTAAATGGTCCGGATCAATCTTCTACTGACAGGAATGATGTGAATCCAGCTACGGTCCATTCAGGTAGTAAAGGTACTGTAAGTCCCCATGGTCCCTAGTATGGTGATTACCTTCAGTTGTTGGCGATCTATAGCACGTTTTAATTTTTGTAATGTCTTACATAGTTATTTTCGATTTTCATACTACTTTTACAATTATACCTGTGATATTCTAGTTATTCTTACTGTCCTGTACATGTTTTTTTTTATAATTTACCATGATTTATTATGACATTATACTAGTAACTTGTTTTAGTCACGATATGGATGAAATATTGCCGATGTGACTTAAAATCTTAACTCACTAACTCACTCTAATGACAGTGTATCCACACGTCTTGCAGCGTCTTGGCCCAGTTCGGCTGACGTAGCAGTTGGCGTTTGATTTGGCACACGTATCCCGACGTGACCCTCACCTTGAATTGTATTCTTGTGATGTTTTACTAAGGGAGGTAATCCGTAATGATACGTGCACGATTGTCTTAAAAGCAAAACTTAGTTCATCGGTAGTACAGTCCAGTCACAATTTTCAGTGACAATATGCGATGACATTATGGTTGTCAAAGTGATCTCGACTAAATGTTAACAGACCCAATCCCCTGATCTGTAACATTGCTGTAACTGATGACGTTCGTTGGGACGACTCCATTCACGTCCACACATATCCAGAACGACCTGAGTGAATGTGGAGTCATCTGTCATCATTGCTCGAGGCGATCACCCATTCCTTCCTCTAAGCACCACTCAGGTGCAGAGTATGCAGATATATTAAGTTGTCAGTGAATGAGAGAGTCAAACGTCACATTGGCAATATTTCAACCGTTCCATGACTACAGAAATTCATTAAATGAAAGAAATATGTTATATGTTGTAAAAAAGTGTCGTCGAAGGTCAGTATAACTGGATTATCGCAGATAATATTCAAAACTGAGATCATTTTGAAAAGATAAGTTATTATTTAACAACATAGTATAAAACCTGGCTGGAGATGACCAGCAACCACACTTAGGCCACAATACTGGCTACAAAACGTCTGTTTAATGTTTTCCAAGTTCAGCCGAAAATTAAAATTTACAACAAAAAAACGATTGGTAGGAATATCACTTTTTGAAAGAGTGGTTTTAACTGCTGCTGCTGTTGCAAATGCAACTCTCAACAATTCGGTGACCCTACTTTTGATCCCCTCAACTGATTATTAAAATACGTTATAAGATCGTTCAACCGTGATCTACAGCAAAAAGTGGGACATCCAAGTAGGTATTACTTCTTTGAGTGGCATTTTAGAAGTTGAGAAATTACAATATAGAACAATCTTTATAGATAACAACTTTTTTTTATTCGTGAGTGCGACGTTTTGATACAGATCCTTGTACCGTTGTCAAGCATGATGGGACATGAAGAAGGGGGAAGTATATATATACTGGATGTAACAATGTAACAAAGAAAACAACATAATTGGCTAGGCAGAAAGCTGATGAAGCCAGAGAGTAGACAAAGGACAGGCGTGGAAGCCAATGATGTACAAATAATAATGAGATGTTTATACAGCAGAGTTTATACAGTAGATTGGGCTTGGTGGATGTGTGCATCATAAGCGGATGGAATGAAGTATCCTTGGTCTCGGTTGATGGTGGGCTTTTGGCGTTTGATGTGGATGGCTTCGGTGAGCTTGCGTTTAGTGAAATCTGTTTGTTTGTTAGAGAGAATGGAGATGTCAGACCACTCTATTTGATGATTGGGGCTTGCTTTAATGTGGTCGGAAATGGCTGATTTGCTGTCGGAGTTGGTAAAGTAGGTATTAATAGATTACATCAAATTTGACCAACTGTCGGCTACACCTCTGTGGGTTGTCCAGGATTATCTTAAGACGCATTACTTTACATTTTGATTCAAACGGATAAACTTAACATCCAGTTTTGATACATGTGTGTAAGTTCTATCAGGAGAACCTAGTTATGAGATAAGCATCATTGGTTGGCCAATTTCCGCATGTTATTGAGTATTTGAAGCACGGGAATGTATTTGGAACCGACGGCATTAACCGCAATACAATGGTGTGTGCTATTTTTGAAGGTATTAATACGCAGCGAATTGCCTTGCAATTTCCGGGAATCGAATACCATTCGAAAATGTTTTTCAACCAATCAGATTAAAGAACACAGTGACTTTTGGTTTACAATGTCTAATATCTGAAACCGTCAGTTAGACCACGTGGTGCAGTCTTTGTGGTCTTACCAAACATTAACCAAAGCCAAAACTAACGAAACAAAACCACAACTACGTGTACCTAACCCTAGCCCTAATCATACACATTAACTCGATGTTTTCTCAAAATAGCCCGAAGTCTGCCCGTTATTTAGATGACAACTCTGGACCCATTCTACCCCTTTCCGTAGCACTCACGTCTGGAGTGATGTGGGCGATCTTTGTGCTCCTTGTGAGGACTCGTTCAGCATTATTTCGAATCTGCTGGAGATGTTGCTCTGCTGCCGCACCGTGAATCAATGAGTGAGTGAGTTTAGTTTTACGCCGCACTCAGCAATATTCCAGCTATATGGCGGCGGTCTGTAAATAATCGAGTCTGGACCAGACAATCCAGTGATCAACAGCATGAGTATCTATCTGCGCAATTGGGAACCGATGACATGTGTCAACCAAGCCAGCGAGCCCCACCACCCGATCCCGTTAGTCGCCTCTTACGACCAGCATGGGTTACTGAAAGTTCATTCTAACCCGGACCTTCATGGGTCCCGTGAATCAGTGAGTTGGAAAAGCTGTAATATTGCTGAGTGCGGCGTTAAACAAACAAACATGCATGCATAGTCAAACCCACAAATCATCTGCAAACAAAATTCATAAACATATCGACCCGACACTTTGTTGGAAGCAAGATTTGGTGTTTTCGTCGTGACTTCAATATCAGCTATGGAGATTGTCAGTTTTTCTTGAGGTTTGAAAACGCATCCAACCTACATCATGACGTCACTCTTGAAGTCAAAACCCACTTAAAACTCTTAGATGTATATTAACTTATTATTGTGTTATTGTCATTAGTATTATACCACTTTGTACACACACAATACAGCGCCTGCAGAGATAACTGGTTAAAGCGAAGCTCTTTTTTCCTCCACATTTCTAACATGGCATCAATCAAAGCTTTCCAGACTCTCATCGGTCCGTTTTAGCCAGCAGTCAAGTAAGTTTATGATTTTCTTCCTTGTTTTCTTTCTCCCCGAAAATGCCTCAATCTACATTGCTAAACTAAATTCAATTCAGCATTGAACCCTTAAATTAACCCCAGGGACCAGACCTAGCACCTCACTAACTGTTCTACTGCTCTTACCATACACAATCCCTTCCTCTGAAACCAGGTGAGTGAGTGAGTTTAGCTTTACGCCGCACTCAGTAATATTCCAGCTATATGGCGGCGGTCTGTAAATAATCGAGTCTGGACCAGACAATCCTGTGATCAACAGCAAGAGCATCGATCTGCGCAATTGGGAACCGATGACATGTGTCAACCAAGTCAGCGAGCCTGACCACCCGATCCCGTTAGTCGCCTCTTACGACAAGCATAGTCGCCTTTTGTGGCAATCGTGGGTTGCTGAAGACCTATTCTACCCCGGATCTTCACGGGCCCCTCTGAAACCAGGAGTGGTGGGGTTAGCCTAGTGGTTAAAGCGTTCGCTCGTCACGCCGATGACCGGGTTTCGATTAACCGCATGGGTACAATGTGTGAAGCCGATGTCTGGTGTTTACCGCCGTGATACTACTGGACAGAGTGAGTTAATGGTTATCGTCACATCTGCAATATTTCTGCCATATCGTGATAAAAACAATTAATATTTATAATAAAGATAAATAAAACCAGAAATTACAGGAAAAGTTTGCATCATATCAAAGTAAAATAGCAGTTATCTAGTTAACGTCTTCTATTCCAAACTACCAAATATGTTACTTAAAAGCCCACCTATCCCCGTTGACGAAATTGGGATCCCAAGAAATCAACGCTGACCCCA